GTGTACTCTCCGAAGCGTTGATGCGATATTGTTGTGGTGATTAAAATATGCCTGGAAAACACTGAACACCGGACTGAATGCTGCATGATGTGGCATGCTGGCTGTTGACTGCCGTTGGCTGCAACCACAGGCATTTTGGTTGCGCCAAAAAGTGGACTTGCATCCGTCGGAGCAGTCGAGTGGAGCCCAGGAGTGGCTCCCCCACTGAGCCGGCAATTGGCGTGTGGTTTTCCAGCGGCAGAGGCAGAGGCAAGGACAGAGGCAAGTGGCTCCATTCCTCCTTTTTGCGTTTTAATTTCTGCATAAATTTACACTTCTGCAAACCCCCCTCCGCCTCCGCCACCCCCTCCCACCAGGTGCAACGGATCGGCTCCGATGGGGGGGGGGGTGTGGCGCCCCCGAAGGTGTCATTCATTGAGTGGAAAGTTTTTACTATTATTATTATTATAACTCACTCGACTACCAAATGCCATGGGGCATGTGGCATGTGGCATGTGGCATGTAGCTTGTTCTTCCTCTCCTCTCCTGTCCTCTCCTGCCCCCCTCTGTTTTTTATCTCTGGAAAAACCCTTTCCTTTCCCTGCTCTCTCGTGATTCTGGTTACATTTTTCGGGCTTCTCCCTCCCCCAGCCCCCCATTCCTGTTCTCCTTGTGTTTGTGCAACACTTGCGGCTGCTGCTGCTGCTTCTGCTGCTCCTGCTGTTGCCTGTCTGTCGTTGTGTGTAGTTGTTGCTCGACAAAATGCTCGATGGCGTTGTAAAATGTAATCATTGTGGCGTGTAATTAGTTTTTATACGTATCTGTGTGTCAGTGTGTGTGTCGGTGTGTGTGTGTGTGTGTGAGTGTTCCATGTATAAGTGCATTTACCCCAAAAGAGTGTAAGTGTCAGGGTCCTGTGTGCCTGTGTGTGTCTGTGTGCGTGTAGAAATAAAATTTATTATTGCATTAACGTTTTTGGAGCACAGGAGATCCCTGCTGCTCCCCCCCCCCCCCCCCCCCCACACACACACACACACACTCTGATGCAGGGGTATGCAAATGTATGCCACCAATCGGCCAGTTCCAGTGCCTGTGCATGGAATGCATTTAATTGGGAATCGGGGAATCGAGAATCGAGTAACGAGCATCGAGCGGGTTGCTCCAAAGGTTATTCCATGATTCCTTGCTGGAGTGCTCCTCGGAGCGTGCCACATCCTGCACATTCACGTGTGACTGTCCCTTTGCCATTCAGCTGTTCTCGAGGAGTAGATTATTCCACATATTCCTGCCACAAAGCGTTCTCCTCTTCAAATATGCCAAAAGAGGGATGAAACATCCGAGTGTTGAATGGATCCATTCTCTAGGAGCCGCCCTCGCACTCGGCGAGGCTCTGCCCGCACTCCTCTCCTCTCGTTTCCATTCCTCCAATCATCCATTCACCCATTGACGACCACATGTCGTATTAGTAATAATAATTTACACATTAGTATTCCTGTAGTTGCGATATACTGCAGGGGGTGGGGGCAGGATATTCGAGGGGTGTGGCAGTGCCAGTAGTGTTCGTGCCCCGCGCGAATGGGGGGGGGGCAACGCTCAATCAATAGTCAATTTTCAATTTGTGTCCGTGTGTGTGCCCCCGCCCCCTTCCTGTACCCCCCTTCCCGTTCCGTGTGGCGGTGGCATTGATTGGCGGTTGTTTAGGGTCAACCCCCGCCCCCCCTCGCGCCCCCCGCTGCTCCTGTGGTTCTTGTTGCTTTCGCTGTTGTAAGCCAATTGATTTGTTGGTCTCTTTGCTGTTGCTGTCGCCACTCCATTCCGGCGGCGGGGGGAGGAGGAAGGGGGCACCACTGGGAGTCCACCGGAAATGCCACGCAATTTGTTTGTTCGCACTCAAGCCGCAAATATTGTGTGGAAATTAACTTGTTAGGCTACTGGGCGGTGGACGGGGGGGCAGGGAGGGGGATACAGGGGCGTACAGGAGGGCAGGGATGGGGGATGGGGTCGTAAAGGAGGGCAGGGGAGGGGGATACAGGGGCGTACATGAAGGCAGGGGAGGGGGATACAGGGGCGTACAGGAGTGTAGGAGTGTGGGCGTGGCAATTGACATTCGATTTATAATCGAAGAGTACTAGAAATGGAACTTCCTGCCTTTCCCCGTAGTCCCTACTCGCAGATACAGATACAGATGGACATCTAGAGAAAAGATACTTTTGTTTAGAGTAATTTTCTAACGATCCCAGTAGCCCCTGAGTCGCCTTGATTCCCCGCACTTCCCATTTCTCAGTGAAATATCTCAGTCTACACACGGGTTCCGACTCGAACGGAACAAAATTCGTACAAAATTCGTAATTTTTGAAATAAATCGAAAAATACTAATCGTAAGCCAAAGAAGGAAGGAAGGAAGGAAGGATGGAAGAAGACAGAGACACAATGTCGGACGTTTCTACGTCAGTCGATCCGCCGGAGGTGGACGATCGGGAGGAGGAGGAGGCCAGATGGGTTGAACGGCACCTCCAGCAGTTCTCCAGCGAAACGCTGGTGCAAGTGCCACCAAGTGCAAGTGCAACAGAGGGACAAGAGGGACCAGATCCACCAGACGCTGATGCAGAGGAGGGGCCACAGGCAGAGGCACAGGCAGGGGCAGGGCCAGCGGCAGTGGCAGTGGCTGTGGCAGAGGCAGCCGAATTGAACGTCGATTGGGTTAATGTGCGGCTAAACGAACTGCTCGAAGCGGCAACTGTCGCACACCCGAACTCCGATTGGCTCCTCGAACAGTGGCTGCAAGTGCTCCAGGCGGCAATGGACGCCCACAACGCAGCTCCCGTCGGCGGGGAAGGGGACGCAGAGGCTGGGGCTGGGGACCCCGTTTGGGTCCATGAACGGATAAACCAAATTCTCCAAGGGGCAATGAACTCCACCAACGCAGTCAGGGAGGCCAGGGCCGGGCGCCAGCCACCGCCTCCTCGCCGCCAGCCGCCCCGTCGACGCTCTGGTGAACGCCGCCGCGGCTCTCCCCACCGGCTGGTGGTGGCACGCGCGACTGGTGCTCGTGGCGGGAGACCCGACGTCGAGGAGGAGACCTCAGACTGGGAGCTTGACTGGATAAACCAGGCGCTCGAGGAGGCCAACCAGCTGGACTGGACTCTCCGAGCATACGAGGCAGCCAGGGACGGCAGGGCCCCTCGCCGCCATCCCCATCTCCGTCGCCGTCGTCCCCGTCCCGGTCCCCATCCCCCTCGAAGGTCCTGCCGACGCCGTCCGGGTTCTGGCGTCGGTTACCGCCGCCCCGTCCGCTACTTTGGGCATCCCCGCATGATTCTGGGACAAGTGATGGCTCCTCGGATGGTTCTTAGACGACGTGGATTGCGACCCCTCAACGGCAACAACAACGACGGCAACGGCAACGGGGAGGAAGATGCGGCGGATGCAGTGCGGAATGCTGGCTATGGCTACCGCATTCGCCGATTCCATCGATAGCCTCGCGACGAGATGCCACGATTCCTCGATTCCCCGACCTCCCGATTCCATGAATAAACAAAAAGAGTACTTCCAGGGATCGCAGGGCACTGCTGCTCTTCCGTATTGCATTTCCTATGCTGCCGCACCGAGTGGCATGCAATCCTCGCGCATCGAATGGTGTCCGCATCCAGGGCTTTGCGGTTTTCCCATTTACTGTTCAAGTGGGCGCAAAATCAGAGCTCAGGGAGGGGAAGAGGGGGGGAGGGGCAATGCCAACGACTTCATTTGCAACATCAATCCCGACCTCATCATCAAGTTGTCTGCTGTGGCACAGTGGCACCCGCATTACGGCAACAGCCACAACAGCAGGGACTGCGTTTAATAAGGCGTGTGGCAGCCATCCAGAAGAGGCAGGCTCTAGTGCTAGAGCATTGAATGGGGCATGTCCTGGGGCAGGGGACGAGTGGCAGAGTGGCGGTGTGGCAGGGGGGCTGTGGGGGGCGCCGTATAATTAGCTTTAATGGCCTAATGCGCGCGCTGGCCATTCCCGTGGCTGAGTCCTGGTCCTGGCTTTGCCTCTCTCCTCTCTCCTTTGAAAGGAAGAGGAACGAGACGAGTCCTTTGACAGAGCGATTCCCGATTCTCGTTTAGGCGAGAGCGGAGCCCACCTTCTATATGCCTGCCACTCGAGTATTAATGAAAGACCTGCCCTGCCCTGCCCCACTGCCCGCCTCTGCCGCACTTTAAAGCAATTTTCCAGCCAAACAAATTTGCAGGAAGCAAAGAGTTGCAGCGGAGCGTACGAGCGACTATTTATCTGCCCCCAATTGCTGCACGCCCCTGCTGTACTCCTCCATTCACACGTAGCAGGTCCTGTGGGATCCTGCCGCTGCTCCACAGAAACTTCTTGCCTCATAACTTCACATTGAAGAAGATGCATATGCAACACGTTCGTGCCATTCACTGGGGCTCCTGCTGCCGCTGTGCCACAGAAAGAAGAGCTGCCTGCCTCCTGCTGTCTGCTACCTCCTGCTGTCTGGCGGTGTCTTGGAAGCGAGAACCGAGGCACAATCAAGGAGGACACCAGCAGCAGGATGTTTTCCCACCTAAAGACCCCCTTTGGATACTCCCTTCTGTGCCTTCTACAGGGTATTCACTGCTTCGACGCTTCCTCTATTCAACTCCGAAATCTAGAAGATATACGACGAGGCGGGAATGCTGCAACTTTTTCTTAGTGCGGCATGAAATGAATGCTTTTTGGGGGTCTGTTGGGGGGCTTCCTGAAGGCAGGAAGAAGAACTCCTCCAAAGAGGAGAAGAGCGATGCGGATGAGCAAAGAAATGCTGATGGCTGATGGCGGATACGGTTAAGGGTTGAGCTGAAAGTTAATTGAAAAGTATTGTTTGCTGTTTTATGCCACACTGTTGGCACTTGCCACACACACAGAGAGAGGGAGACAATGAAAGCGGAGGCAGATGCTGCCATTTTCCATTTGCGATTCATATTCCACTTACCTTTTACTTTGGCTCTTGGAGCGGCGGATGGGAGGAAAAAAGCGCAAATTGCTTGTTGGAGAAAGCCATACAAAAACGTAGCATTTATTGTGTTTGGGGTTTGCCCCATCCCCCCTCAGCCACGAGGGGTGCGGGCTTACAGGGTATGCTTATATATTCTATATTCTATATTCTATATAGGATCCGACTCTTGGAGTAGACCCCAGGGCCTTCTCCGCACGATGTATGAATGATTCGATCGGATGACAGGGAGATGAACGAACTCTTCTTCTTTGATATGTGTGGCAGATCTTTTTCGTGGGGGGATACAACCTACGAGAAGCCACTAACTAAAGCGCTAATACATGCACTAGCATGCGACTAACTTAAGAGAGAAACGAGAGAGAGAGAGGAGGACGATCCTGCCTGTCTTTCATTCTTATTTGATTATCACTTGAGAAAGGGGGAGAGAGAGAGCACACACACACAGACGAGAGAGAGAGAGACAGAGAGAGTATCTACAACACTAATTAACAATCGGGGGAGGGGGAGGAAGATCTCGAGAGAGAGATCCTTGGAGGAGCATCAGCACCGGCAGCATCTCCTTCATTCGAGCTTCGTTTGCCTCTGAATAATGAGTACCATTCGTACGTAGGATGCTGTGGGGGGAAGGGGATCCTCAGCTCAGGATCGTCGCGTGATCCGAGGCCTTGCCATTCTTGCTGATCAGCGCCTTGGGACCTGCGGAAGGGGAAGGAAGTGCATCAGTAAAAGCTCCAAAGCAGGGGGGATCCCTCCAAGGGGCGCACACGTACCCTCCGTGTCCGAGGCACTGGCCACGCCCATGATCTTCAGCGAACGAAAGAGCGCCCCCAGATTGGAGCGCCCGTCGAGATACTCGCTCTCCAGCCGCACCACCGCCGCCTTCTTGCTCTTCGTTTGCGTGTGCCACACCAGGATCTGCGAGCAGTTGCTGCCACGCGGCTCGATCAGGTCGAGCCGCAGGCCGATGCTCCGCAGGAAGCGGTCCTCCTCGAAGCCCGGCTTGTACGGCATATTGACGTTCGGGAACTGGGCCATGTACTCGAGATTCACCGCGAAGCCGGCCATGTCCACGGGCCAGCGTCTGCCCGCGAGCCACGAGTCCAGGAAGGCCACCACCTTGCCCTGAAACGGAGGGAGGGAGGAGGATTAGAGAAGGACAAGGGGAGGGAGGAGGACAAGACGCACCTTCCGCACCACCGGACCGCTGACGCCGTAGTCCGCGATGAATCCCACGGGGAACATGGACACGCGCTGCGTCTGCCGGATCTCGGAGAAGAGCCCCAGGTCGTAGGTGTTGTCATCGTCCCCGAAGTAGAGGACGCCGTCCGTGAGGTTCCGCTGCCGCAGCCACTGCAGGGCGGCCCTCCGATTGGCCACGCCCCGCGGGGCAGGCTTCACCTTGCGGAAATTGCTGGGCATCGGACTCGCCAGATGGGTGTAGGGGATGCCTGGAGAGGGACGATTAGACTGATGCACTCCTCTGCACAGAAGGACAGATGCAATTACCGAATCTCTTGAGCATCCCATCCATGAACGTGTTGCATCCCTCCTGATCGTTGGCCACCAGCCAATGCAGGCGCGGCACGTGCAGCAGGGTGTGGGCGAGGCGCGTCAGCTCCGGGATCTGCTCCCGCCGCGGATACGTGGGCGTCACGAAGTAAATGATGGGCAGGTGTCCGTACTGGGCCACCGGCTTGTCCTGCACGTACAGCCGCTGATCCAGGTGGCCCTCGCTGCACAGATGCAGCGACTCGTTGAGGGCCCGCGAGAGGATGCCATCTGTGGGAGCAGAGAGCGGAGAGCAGAGAGCGGGGGAATGAATCAGTATTTGTAATTATTCAACTATTTGCCGAGGGGTGAGCACCTCCATTGACCCCCACGATCCCTCGTGTGGCATCACGTAAGCATTCCCAGTCACCCCCGGGGGGAGGAGATGGAATCCCAGTCACGGGCTAATTATACGCCATGGAATAATGGAGTTGTTATCCAGAGATCTTCCAATGCGTGAGGCGTCTCGGTAGACCGGAAAACATGTGCAAGTGTAATTGCAACTGCGGTTCCCGTTAATGGAATTCGAGAGCGGAATGGAATACTCCCCAACTAACGATAAAACGATATGCAACACATAATGCTCCGGATAACAAAAGGGGGAACCCTCTCCCTCTCTCGTATTCCCAGCCCCAGGGCGAATGCACTAATAAGTTATTAAATATTGACGCCACGAAAATAGAGACCCACCCAAGGGGGGGGGTTGGGGGTTGGGGGGAGAGCACGCGAATGATGATTATTCCAGGTGGAATCGAACAATGGACACATTCAGCCCCTCCGGCCGGGCGGCCGCTCGTTTGTTTGTTTGTTTGCCGATATCACAGGGTCTGCCTCTGCCATCATCATCATCAGAGTCGTAAAAACTGTTTATGGTGGGGCTGTCCCCCCGCCCCGTCACATGTGCGTATGTTTGCCCCCACCTCCCCCCTCCCCCTCTGCGGCGGCTGATAAACCAAACACTTAACAATGAGAAGGGAAGTAACAGCAAACCGTAGATATGTACGGAGGGAGGCACCTCCACGCACGTACCCCATTTTAATGATGCCTGTTTATACGCCTGTGAATACGATTATGAATACGAACGTAAATAAGAGTCAAGTGCATAGAAGCCCCGGACGGCAGACCCGTAGTCTCGATGGGGCAATCGGGGGATTGATTAGGAGACTCATTCTGAATTCCCCAAGCATATGATTGATTCGTGATTGGTGACTGGCGGCTTGGGACCCTCCCTGCGGGACTTTTTTGTAGATTCAATAACGAAAGGCTGGAGATACTACGATCCAAGGCCCAGAAGTAGAGCCATATCTGTCCCCAGAGCTCCTTGAAGAAGCAGAGTCTAGGCAGCGATACGAAATCTTGTACCCAGACATCGGGGCACCATTTGGAAGATCTATGAGTCATAGCTGGAGACGGAACATTCGATAGCTGAATGTTTCTGCGGGGCCTGTAGCGAGTTCATTCATGAATGCGTCTCCTTAATCTCTCGATTCATGAATGTGATTCATGGCATTCATGCCATTCACTGGAGAGGCGGAAATTTACAAATTGTTAACATTTGCTTAGACATTTTGATGGCAATTTGAGTTGCACTGTTGTGTGTTTCCGAAAATATACACACACACACGAAGAGAGTGGGGGAGGGGGAGGGGGAGGGGGAGGGGCATCGTCTCGACACGCGCAATTGAAAGAAATTGAAATTGAAATCGACTCGACTCGAGGCGGAACGAAACAAACAGATGATCCCCACAATAAGAGCACAGATTTTGGGGGCAACAAGTGGTAACACCTCCCACCTCCCACCTCCCCCCTCCCCCCTCTTGAGTACTTTTGTACTGTTTGTTGTTGTTTTCTCATGGAAATTAAAGCGAATCCGAACTCTGGACTCGTTTTCAGGCGCTTCTACTCGAAAGGCGGCGCCGGCTGGTGGAAAGGGGGGAATGGGGGGGATGGGAAAAGTGCAATTAAAGAAGGGGTGTGCCATTCAGAACTCAACAAAACTGATTAAAACTGAGTCGTAGTCGCAGTCGCAGTCGGAGTCGCATTCGTGTGGTATGCCATTCAGATATGGGATTTTGTGTCTACACGATTACGAATCCGAAAAGCCCATGTGTCATGGGTGGGGCGAGTTGTGTAACGAAAGGGGGAAGAAGGGGGCCCCTTAATTGAAGCTTTCTTTCGCCAAGGAAATCAATCGATATAGTGTCTCCCCGCACCCCCCCAAAATGGACATTGGGGCATGCAACCGTGGCTACCATTCCCGGAACAGCGAAGAAAGCCCGTGCGAAATTGGGTAATAAATTACGGATAGCCGACAGAAGGCCAGCAAGGAGGGGGATATCAGAAGACGGGAATGCCCTGCCCGAAAGATTGGGATTCCCAATAGATCTGCAAAGACTTGCCCCCCACATGAATACGTGGCTATGCCCCCCATAGATCCATAGCTGTCTGTCGCATTCCTCTCCCCCTAGTCGATATACCCTCTCGTGTCATTCGGGGAGGGCCGTGTGAAGTGGAAAGCCCCAGTTAGATGGAATATTTGACCTTGTCCACGGCGCGGCTTTCGCGGCGTGCAATAAAAATACACAGAGGCCAAAGAAGGCACACAAAAGGGGGGAGGGGTGGGGTGCTGCCAGTCAATGGAGTGTATGAGACGCTGCAAGACAATGCTATTAAATTAGACCAATTACCGCGAGGGGGGGAAGGGGGGGGATGAATAATACAACAAACAGCAGCATGAAACTGAAACCAGAAACTGACAGCCGAAGCGACAGAAACAGCAAACAGAAAACAGCGAAGCGAAGTGGATCGACCAGCCACACGCGATAATAACCGCGGCCCATAACTCATCGAAGCGGCGAAAAACGCGCGGGGGGTGGAAAAGTAGTGGCCCCTTTTCGGAGCCAAACCCATATGCCCCGGCCTCGTGTAGGGTATCAGGGTGTCGGTCAGTTTGATTCGTTTCGTTGGCCCAAAGCCAAAACAAAAACGGAAAAACCGAAAGTGAAAGTGGGGTCTCTTTCTCTCTCGTAAATCACTTTCCAGTCCATCGTGGGTTGGTAGGGGAGGGGAGGGGAGGGGAGGGACAGGTGCAACGTGCAATAGGGAAGGGAAGGGCTGAGGAGAAGGAAGGACTCACTCACATGATCTATATGGATTGCGAATACTTGAATCTTTTCGGTTTTTGGATGCGAACTTGAGCAGGTCTTGACCATCGAAGGCGGGAATTGTCTGGCGTTGTCTGGCCAACTCCCGGAAGCGGGACAGGCCGAGGGATTGGGAGTGCTTACCCAGGTGGATTCCCTCATCGGAGTCATCGGTGGCGCCGCCGCCGCCCAGTCCCAGGGCGAGTCGCGTGTCCGTGTTGAGGGTGAAGTAGCAGAGGGCGATGAGGAAGATAAGGGCCCCCCCAAAGAGGCCTGCTGTCCGCAGGCAGCGGCGCCTGCTCCCGACGACGCCACTGGAGCCGCGAAGGAGGGCCATGGGGGGTGGCAGGGAATGGGTTGCCAGAAACGGTATACGGGGTGCGGCCCCCTTGGGGCGCCGCTGCTGTCGCTGACGGTGCTGCTGTTGATGCCTCTCGATGTCCTCCTCCTCGTCGTCGTCGGACGATGTCAGTGGCTGGTCGAGTGCCGCGTAATAGGCACTTGGCATTATGCGGCTCGGGGCACGGTTCTCCGCGGATGGGGCTCAGATTCAGGTGCGGTTTCAGGCGTCAGCTGCTGCAGATCTGGGGCTGGCAGTGGCGTTGCTGCTGCTGCATCCCCGGACCCCACGACGACGCAGACGACGACTGTGATGCAGAGGGCGACGGTGGCAGCGCGGGGCTGCGTTTGCCATTTGTGGGGTGGAGGGGAGGACTAGAAGCCGTCCTCCTCCCTCTCTCCTCTCCTCTCTCCTCCCTTCTGTTATACAATTCCGAGAACAGAACGAAAGACCCGAAAATTATGCAAATTCCAAACACATTTGGCGGCCGCTCTGCTCTGCTCTGCTCTCTTTTCCTCTTCTTTTCAGTTATTGTTATTTCTGTTTCTTCTTCTGGGTTTCTGTGTTTCTGTGGCTGTCACACACGCGGGGGCACAGGGCGGCAGCGGTGGGTCTATAAAAAACCAAATCAAAATATTCGCCAGAGCCACAGAATCGACGAACGAACACGCGAAGACGCCGCCGCTAGCTTTGACAAAAAATCTGAATAATCGGAATAAACTTTTGCACCGCCTGCTGCCTCGCTCGCTCGCTCTCTCTCCCGTGTTGCTTTTGTTGTTTTGCTCTCTCTCTCGCTCTCTCTACCCTTTGTTGTTCGAATGCTTTCTAGGTGCATGCGAGCGCAGGGTATAACTAGGTTAGGTTCTGACAAGTGCCGCTAGGGCTCCATAAAGGTGGTTCATTGGTTGCTAGCAATGTATGTCCCTTACCTGTGGAACACCTTTGCAAAAGTTTACCTTACCTTACCTTATAAAGCTTGTACCTTGGCTCTCTTTTCAACCACCGCCACAGCTGGCCCAGGGTTGTATTGGATAGTAGCAGACACTCTTTTGGGTTCATGTCTTGGCTAAATTTCAAATTGGAAATTCAAGGGTAAAGCGGGAAAGTATTTTTCAAAAGCGAAAGGAAAGGAACCCTAAATCTTGCGATTGAAATGTTTCCCTTTAAACGGTAGCAGCAGCTGTCTAGCCAGAGAAACCCGAAACACTCGTAGACTCCATGGCCAATCCGTAAACATTGTATCTTATCTAATCTACACATTTAATCGCTGCAATTGTCTGGATGATTACGAGGCTCTTTGGGCCTTTTACTGATATTTGACTTGGCTACCATTTCGCAATATTCTGTATTTCTTTCCCCGAATCCCACGGAACCACTGAATGAAAGCGAATGATTTACAAACGGATAGAACGGGTGTTACATTTATTTCTTATAAAGTTTTTTACGCTTGCGGGCTGTGGGGCGGTACAAATGTGTTTACAATTCGTTTAGTGTGTGTGTGTGTGTGTGTGTGTGTGTGTTTTCTTTGATTGTTAATTAAGCAAATGTTTAAACGATTAAAAGCCACTAGTATCTCACTGATTTGATTGCTGCACTCTTTCGGTAGCTGCACTGCAGCTCCCTTTGAGGGGGGGGGGGGAAATCGATTGGCGGACAACAAACAAACAACACTCCTTGATCCTGATCGCTCCCGATCCTCCCTGCACTTATGGAATAATTAACTAAATGTTTTATGTAGAACTCGTAGCGGTGTGGCGGTCCATTCCGGATCCATCCTAGATGTTGGCCTTGATGACATCCTCCAGCCGCTGGGCATTGGCCCCAGCGAACTCCTCCACCTTGTTGGTGTTCTTGATGAACACAAACGTGGGCATGCTGCAGATGTTGTAGTCCATGGCAATATCCTCGGATTCATCGACATCGACCTGCAGAGACAGACACAGATACGGTTACAGATTGATAGATATGTATGGGCTCTCCAAAGCAGTGGATTCTCACCTTGAGGATGACAATGTTGTCGGCGTACTGCGTGGCCAGCTCCGCCAGCTTGGGGGCGATCATCTTGCAGGGGCCGCACCAGGTGGCATAGAAGTCCAGGACCACCAGCTTGCTTCCCGCCTGCTGCAGCTGGGCATCGAGGTCGGCCTGGGGGAGGGATACAGAGAGAGAGAGATGGAGTGGTTATCATGTGTGCGTGTGCCTTTTCCATCCCCGATTGACCCACTTTTCCCCCCGTCTCTCGTTCCCCGTGGATCCACCGTAGCTCCCAGCACTCCCTCTCCTTATCGCTGACATGTGCGCGATAAGGGCGCTGCTGAAGCCGCAAACTGTTGCCTGGCAACCCCAAAACTCGCCAGTCCCCTTCCTCTGCCTTTTCCCATAGGTGCTAATCAGATGTTAATGAGTTTCCAGTCCGCTGTTCTATATATTCCATCCGATCTGTATCCCATGGCACGGCGCACAGTTTTCCATTTGATTGAAATGTTTTCTGGCCAAGACCCCAATGAATATGCCACAAGAATTGTTTCTAAATAATAAACGAGTGGGGCATGCACTTATAAATTCCAAATGAATGGGAGCACCCCTCCAGCGACACGAACAGAAGAGTGGAATGCAATGAAATTAGAGGTTGGTTGTTGGGTGTTTTGTGTTGGTTGTTGGTTGTTGGGGCCCCGCCTCTGTCACGTTTTCCGCGGCGGTGACCTCTAATTAATTTGCTGGTATGTGCGATGGTAATCGCAGAAACAGAGTCAAAGAAATGGCTCTAATGGAATTACTGTGGGCATGGGTCGGGGGGCCTGTAGCTTTCGGCAGGTGGGGAATGACTCCCCAGGGGGGGTGGTGGAATGGGAATCCGGCTTTCGGTGGAGAATTAACATAAACGGAACACGTTCTGGGAAACGCGTTCCAAGATGAGTAAGAGATCCATCCAAAGATGAGCTCTATTCTACAGATGATTCATTCCATGATCAAATCACTTTTGAATGGATTCAATTATAATGTCGAAATTGTGTTTAGGAATGTTCCAGCAAGTGGTTTCTTCCGATAAGCAGGAACATGGTTAGACCGCAAATGGAACAACGGACGGGGTTGGGGGGGGTCAATGGTTAGGAGGTGGCTTGTGCTTGTGCATTAAATATTTACTTGAGTGGAGGAAATCCACACTGTACTCTGGAGAACGCGAAATATTCACTCTCTGACGCAATATTTGGTATTTCATTTGTGTTTACGAGAGGGGCAGGGGAGGGGGAATGGCAATGAGATGTGCAGGGCAATCATTCAACCGGTTTCCACCCCGTTCCGAGGGGACGCTCTGCGTCTCCATCTCCGTCTCCGTCGCTGTCGCTGCTGCTGTCGCTGAATGGCGCGTAAAAAACAGTACACCCTGTACACAGTAGTATTCGTAACCCTCAGAATTAGGCCCCGAGACCCGATAGCGATTTATTGCTAGCTCATGCTCTGAATACACTCGCATTCACATATTCATGTGGACTATATCTGTGGAGGAGATTACTCAATAATAATTCCGAATGAAAGACCATTAAATTCCACTTTCCTATGTCTTTCCACTGCCCGGGTTCCCATGACATTTTGGCCAGACCACAGACGGAATGGTCATCTTTGAGAGATGATATCATAACCTTCTCTTCGCTCTGTTTCTCTCTCTCTCTCTGCTTCTCTATGCTATTCTCATACTGGTTTTTGGCTTTCTTTCTTGATTGTTTTCGCTGTTTGGTGTCTCCCTTTCCCCCTGACATTCGTTGGGGCCGCCAAAGCGACAACAACACTGCTTGAGGGCCACAGACACAGCCACCTCCATCGGCCCCCTCTTCCCCACTATATTCGTCGTAAGCGAACGTATGGCAAAAGCGTGGAGAATGAAATGAAACGAAGAAATAGAAAGGGATAAAAAGAAAGAGGAATTCCAATTCCAATTTCATTTCCATTTGCACTTAGTTTTCTATGGCACGGGGAGGAAGGCTATTAATTGGGGATATTCCACACAGCACTCAATTGAAGCCGGAACTTGTCGCCCCCAGACTATTCACGATTTATTCACAGATGATTCACTCACCTTGTCTTTCACTTGGTAAACCATTATGTAGCTCGGGAGGTTGGAGGTTGTGTTGTGTTGCGGTGGAGCCGGCGGTAGAAAATGTACAAAAAGTTACTTAATTAGCAGCAGTGGAGTGGAGCAGAGGAGCAGAGCAGAGAGAGCACTCTTCGCCACGACGCAAGCTCGTTTCGGTGTTGGAATTCGAATGAATGATGCCGAATCGAATGCCCAGCGCTGTTAAATGTAATCTTTGCTGTTAGCAAGCTGTTGGCTGGCGCCCCTAGCCGCGGCCATTTCTTGAACTTCTTCGTTAACAGTGCTCTGTTAGCATACCTTTAAGCTCAAAGCAGATTCGAGTTGCAGCGAGAGAGCTCATTTTTGCGTTTCATGTATGAGTTTTGAGTTTTTCGAGAGCTTTCATGTTAACGTAACATGTGCTGTGTTTAACATTGCCTGAACAGCGGTTCTTCTAACATGCTGTTCCGCTTTTGTGTGCATTCAGCCGCATGGTATAACTGCTAACGAGGTGCTAACGCCCCTACTCTCCAGAGGGCGCTCCTTGTAACGGAAATTCAAACTGCGCAGAGAATCAACACATATTTCATAATTTATTTTAAAAGAAAACAATTCTTTAACACTACAAATACGTTTTTGGAAATTAAGATTTCGCCACTAATCACTATCACTAAACTAAACTAAACGCTACTAGCTAGTGAGTGATTCCTCCCTCCCTTTAAGTACAAATCTGTCAATGGGCCGCATGTGTGGCAGCTGCCGCCGCTGAATGGTGCAAATGGTGATGATGATGGTGATGGTACGTGAGCGTGGGCGGTGGGGGCGGAGGCGGCGGCGCCACTGCCACTGTGGGCATCACCCCGATCGACGGCTGTGCGATCTGGGCCTGTGCCATCTGCTGTTCGTACGAGGAATAGTGATCGTAGTAGGATCCATAGCCGGAAGCGCTGCCGGGATCGATGCCGGGATTCGATGCAGCCCCCGTGGAGGCGGACACTGAGGCGGGTGGCACGGTGGTTCCCGTATCGAAGTAGCTGACGCCGTTGTAGCCGTTGGCGCTCTCGTAGAAGTGTCCAGCGGCAGCGGAGACGCCTCCGGGGAACTGCTGCTGGTGCGGATGCCCGTGGGGATGGTGCTGCTGCAGATCGTAGTCCTGGACGAGTCCCTTCGCCTCCCGATGGCTGCTGTAGTAGTAGTCGTAGTTCTCCTCCGCGTACGCCAGCGGCTGCGTCTCCACGGTGGCGTTATACTTGACGGTTGGCTGCCCCTGCCCCTGCCCCTGTCCCTCCCCCTTGCAAAGCTCCTCCTGGATGCTGCCCCCGAGGTGCTGCTTGATCTGCGAGTAGTTGATGAACTCGGGCTCCGGCGTCGCCAACTGGGGACTCGACTCGTAGGGGATGCCACACCCCGTGGCAGCTGGCCCCTGGTGGCACATGGCGTTGCTGTAGCCGCCGCTGGAGGATTGCTGCTGCTGCTGCTGGTAGGAGGCTGCCGCCAGCTCCGAGATGCAGGCGTACGGGAGGCCCGGGGACTTGCTGGGGGCAGTGGCGGCCGCCGGCGTGGCATGGTAGATGGTGGGATAGTTGTAGGTGATGTGCTGGTGGTTCACCGTGAACACATTCGCGGAGCTCTCGCAGTGATTGCCCATCGTGGCCTCCGCCCCGTTCAGCGGCCAGCCCCCCGCCACGCCGTTGCTCGCGTAGCTCGAGGATTGGCCCCCCTCCAGGTAGCTGTGGCAGGTGCAGTGGCTGTAGGTGGTGTGGCACTTGCCGCAGCCATTGAACGGATAAATGTCCAGAGCAGAGGCGGCAGAATGGCTCAAGGGATTGCTGGCCACCGCCGGACGATGCCCCTTGATGCCCTTTCCCATGAGATTCTGCTGGAAGGAACAGTTTTAGGATCGGAGGAGGAGGAGGAGACTGTGGCTCGGACTCACCTGCTGCTTCACTTGCTTCACCAGTCCGGCGATGACGGACTTCTTGGGATTCGCGGTCCCCACAGAGGCCTTCCCTCCGAGCGGAATCCTGCCGAAGGCTCGCTTCGAGACACTCGAGTTCTTGGGGTCTGGCCGCAGGTGATCGTGGACGCCCTTGGCCTGGAAGAAGATGGCGTTCCCCGAGTGGCGCCAGAAGTGGGTCACGGGGTAGCCGCAGTGGCCGCGGCAGGGCTTGATCTCCAGCCTGCCGCCCCGGCAGCTCTTGTTGGGGCACTGCTTGCCCTCCTGCTTGCGGCGCGCCTTGTCGCAGATCGCGGGCCGCAGGTTGATCCTCGACCCGTTGGGCAGGACGCAGTGCTGCGAGCACACCAGGACCCCCAGGCAGCTCTTCTTGAGGATGTTCACGTTGTGGTTGTTGGTGTTGCGCATCGCCCAGCCGGAGATGTGCTTCTTGGCCTCCTCGTTGTGCAGCGCGTAGATGTGCCGCACATGCCCGTCGCTCCACTCGCTGAACTCGTCGAACTCCAGGTCTGCCACATGCGGCACGATGGCGTCATTGATGTCCCAGTCCCGCTTTGTCTTGACCGTCATTCCGGCAGAGAGGCAAAGATTCTGTTGCTGCTGCTGTTGGGGATCTGGGTGCTGCTGATTGCTGAGGATTTGCTGCGACTTGAAGCTGTAGCCATTTCTGTGAAGGGAAGATCCAGTTTGGATGAGTAATCCCTCAGTCTCGGATGATCTACTTAGATCCCCCACCACCACTCTGGTGGGAATGGGGATGGGGATGGGGATGTTCCCCTTTGTTTTAGTGCCTCGTTTAAGGAATTTCCATCTTAATTGCATCCTAAACTGTGAAGCCCGCTCTGGCGGGGAGTCTGTCTGTCAATCAAATGAAATGCTTGCAGCATTTACGATGCGGCCTGCCCCATGAAACGCATAAATCTACCGTTGCCTCCGCCACCAGCCCCGGCCCCGGCCCAAACTCCGTCTCCAAGCTCCGTTCTTTGGCTTGTAATCCAATCCGAATGAGCGCCAGTTTGGAGCGTGGAACGTGGAGCGCCGGCGGCTGAGTCAGGCACGAGACTCGGAGATTGAGACTTGATCGACTTGATTGAAGGGGCAGATCTCGCGAGGCGACGCGCCCTGTGTGGGAGGGAGAATGTGTGGCCGATCGTTTAGTGCGGCTCGCGGTCTGCAATTAGCCATAAATTTGTTTCGATTCAGGCCCCAGCCTCGCGCTCCCTCGAGCGTTTTTGTTTTTATGTGTACTTGGAAGCCACAGCAGGTTGCACGAATGAGAACGCTCTTGGCTCTTGGCTCTTGGCTAATAACTCTGGCCCTAACACTGGCTCTGATTCTGTTTCTGATTCCGATTCCGATACCCGTGTCGGTCGTGTCGTTTCAATCACTTGGTGGTCCCCCTCCTAAGATCTCTCGATGAACCTGTTGTTCTTTTCTGTTCTGCTCCGTCGTTCGTCGTGTGGCAAGTCGCTTGTGCGTCGGCTATCGGTGTGTTCTTAGCGCTTTGTTTTGGGCCCGTAAATTGACTGCCTGACACTTGGTGTCTCTTGGGTGTCTCTTTGGGCGCTCGTTAGTCGCTCGCTTATCTCAGATGTTGATTGCATCTCACTTCGTTCTGGCTCTGGCTCGGGGTCCCACTCGCGGGGGGTTCGGGAATCTCATAATAAGTTTGTCACCTAGAAAATATGTCTCTATATTCCTCCTATGTTCGAGAGATGTGGTGACCCTTTCACTCGTGGCCCCTGCCTCTTGCTATGCGCCCCCGCCTTTGGGGAGGGAGGGGGCGACCTGTGTGTGTGTGTGTGGTCTCCCTCCCGCGGCGGCATCTCTGTGGATCGGTCGCGATTGGAGTGCCACATTAACTAAGTTGTGGTGCACACGGCATGCCCCCCCCACCCCTCCATGCCACAGGCCACAGCGTGTGATAATAAAGCGTTGGAAATCATTTACATTTTGTGGCCCCTGCCGCTGCCCCTGCCCCACGCTCTCATTGATCGTTTGATTTGTGGCACCATCTTTTGGGGGTGTGGGAGAGCTATGCCTCATCGGAGGCATGCAACGGATTGGAAAATGCAGATGGATGTGTGTCAAAAGGTCGCGAATTGGGGGAAACTTTACAGATACATGTCTCTATAGGTGCAGGTACAGATACAGATACAGATACAGAGAGTGGAGACTCGGAGACTCTAGTGGAAGATACTTCTATCTAAGATACCTATTCCATCGGATATCCCTCTTTGATTTCTTCAGGAGATACTTTGGTGTATCTTTTCTGTACTTTGTTCATCCGGAAGATACTTTTTCACTTACATTACAACCATATTCCAAGTGAATCCAAATGAACGATCAGCTGCTGTAATCCCAGTGTTGCAGAGATACTTTTGATAGCGGATTGTATCCAACGGATGTATCTTGTATCTTGTTCACTTCACTATTGCCACAGCACTCGATGGATGGATAATCATTGTAATCCAATTAAAATAGGGCGAGTATAGACTCTGAAGATACTCTGAGTAGTATCTCACGGATACCGCACTGTAAGCCGTCGCTAATTTCACGAATTTCAACGCACGCGACGACGACGACGACGACAAGAGGCGTAGCGGATGCTAACGGACGACCTTTCACTGTGTGGCAACCTGTGAGAGGAGCGAGCGCTTTGTATACTCTGCGTACTGTGTATCTGGCAGATACTCCTCCTCGTGCAAGAGACAAAAACAAAAGCAGCGCCACGGCCCAGCAGCGGCAGCAGACAAAAGCAAACTTCAGCGCTAAAGATACACAGATACACGGATACACGGAGCCACAGATACACGGAGCCACGGAGTGCGAGCGATGCCAAGTTTTGTCAACAAGGGAATGAATGGATACGCGCGAGCTCTGGCACTGGGCTCTGGCTCTGTCTCTGGCTCCACCTACAAAAACCAACAAAAAAGCAAGTGGCAAAAGGGGGACAGAGAGGGGGTGCGGGTGGACAGATGGATGGAAAGACGGAACCACCCGCATAATTTGGCGAAAACTCCACTCTCCACACACACAGACAGCCGACGTCGGCGCATAATCAACGGCCACGAACAGCCAACAGGGCGAAGAGGAGCCGCAGCTGCCCAGAGTGCCGAAATGTATCCGTCAGTTACAGATACTCAGAGCCCAGAGCCCAGAGCTGAGCTCCCTTCCAGGCAGCGGCTTCTTCCAGGCAGCAGCAGCAGCAGCAGCGGCAGCGGCACTTCTCGCCTCTGATTGGTCGGATAAACACGCGCACACGCACACGCACACGCAGACACACTGCATCTCTCTCTCTCTCTCGCTCGCTCTGGAGTACTTCTCTTTTCTCTGTGCTTGTGTGTGTGTGTGTCTTTGAGAGTTTTTAAAGTTCTGCCTATTGGGAGTGGAGGGGCGAGGGGCTTCCATGTGCAACAGCCTTATCAGGCTTATCAGGCGCCCATTGTTCCGCCGTCGCAGGCGAAGGATGGAGACCGGGAGAGAGCAATCAGGAGAAGGGCAATAGAGAGAGGGGGGGATAGATTTAATCATCTCTGAAATGTTTGGTAAATCATTCGTATTTTCATGATTTATGATTCTTAATAAAAATCATCGAAAGATACACGTTTTAATGGATCCTAAATGAAGATATTACGTCTCCGAATCTGTACTCTATATACCATACGTATCTTCCTCTATATCTACTCTGAATCCACTGAATCGTTTCCACTGAAATTTCTAGAACAAAGATTGTTTCTTCTCTCCCTTGAGTATGTACTCCATAATGGATGAATGTGGCTTTAAGCCTAGCTTAAAGTGGCAACAATATCAGGGCCAGAGATCCCCCTGAGGGCCAAGAAAAAGTGCGGCGACTGGGGGGTGGGGGGGCTAATGCTCTGGCCGTGTGTGTTTTCACCTGATCGCATCGCCCGCATTCGCCATTTGGGGCACTGTTAAAACACAGGCAACAACAATAAAAACACACACAATTTATGCGTCCACTTGGTGGCACACACAGACGCACAACTACAGCCACAGATACATCGGAGATACACCAGATACAATGGGAACAATTAACCAACGGCAGAGGCAGAAGCCGTGTCATCAGAGGAAAGAGTCCCCTGACGGAAAAAGAAATGGAGGAGCCGCCAATAGGCAGGCGGCGTCGTTCAAGTGAAAAGTGGGGGAAATTCCGTTGACAGGAAATGCAAAGCGAGACCGGGGGCCAGTGGCAGTGGCAACTGTGGCAACTGTTGCTGCTGCTGCTGCTCATCGACTGTGACCCGTAATTAAAATGTGTGGCAGTGGCAAAAGGAGTGCAGGGAGTGGGAGTGAGTGCCCCTGAACGCACTCGAAGATACGGGATTGGGCCCTCAAGAGTGAAAGGGAGAGCGGGGGAGGGGGAGGGGTACATGCCGCCGTGTAACTGCGCGCGGAAATGGCTGAAATGAATGGCTGCTGTTGCTGTTGGCCATTTGCTAGCCCCCTGTGTTACCAATACCCCCCACTACCTCTGCACCCCTCTACCTCTCCGTTTCTCTGCCGTTTGTTGTCGCTTTAACGCTCCTCCAAACACAGCAACACAGCAAATGATACGGGTGACAAATACATATTTCAACAACATCGAGAGAGGAGACGAGGAGGAGGACGCAGAGAAAGAGCCAGAAATGATAGAGAAATACTTATTCACAATTTTACAGCTGAAATGTGCTCGACTGGGACTGGGAGTATCTCTGCGGTTCACCTGGGGGTTCACGGTTCATGGTGCAGCTGCAACACTCACTCCTTGGGGTAGGGGCGGGGGGTATTTTCGCATTTAATTGCTCAACATTATTTTATAATCATTGCGTCTCGTTTAATGTAGGTAAAGAGCAACAGCCAGCCCCCCCACACCGATGGACACATCCATTCGTAGACCTCTCCGAGAATGAGTCCCGCTGGGAAGTGCCTAATGAGCGCGTGCTCCCCCCTTCCCCCTTCCCCGTCCCCGCCCCCAAACCCCAAAGAAGGGCCTGTCATTGTGGGGCACCTTTTGGCGCATGAGATTAATCATCGATCTGTAAAAATCAATAAAAATTGGAATTGGTGTACTCTGAAATGGATTTCGACGCAGAGCTTTCGACCTCAAAAATACGAGTGGTAGGTATGTGAATAACTAATTTGCTAGGAGGCTACACTGAGAGAAAAGCGGGCCCCTATAAGAGAGCCAAAGATATTCGTTCTTTCTGCAATCTGTGGCTGGAAGTGTGATATGTGGCACCCAAAACCATAAACCCAAAACACCAAAAAACCAAAACACCAAAGGCAAAAGGCACTTCTTTCCATTTACGCAATTAATTGGTCGTCACGCTGGGAGGTCCACTAATAGATCCACGAAAACCCCAAAACCCAAAGCCCAAAGCAGATCCAAAGCAGAGCTCTCTAGGGCCTCGTGGATTAACATTTTGTCTATTGACTGATTGAATGATTGATACTCCCCAACATCGAGCATCACCCACAAAAAACCATATGAAATTTTGACAAATGTCTTTGGATCGGGGATCGCGGATCGCCGATCGCGGAGGGAGGGGCATGCTAATGGCCCTCGTTTTCGGTGGAGGACCGAGCCCCGTTCTTCTTGCAGCTCGTCTTATAAATGAGTTCGATTAGAACCCAATTACAAGGGTGGAATGCTCTGATGGCCCCCACTAGCCCCAAGAAAAGCCATTTTCCCGCGGGGGGAATTACTTTTAGTCATCAAATTATGACTCATAAATTTAATTTTATGACTTCTTTGGGCCGCAAAAAAACAAAACAAAACAAAGCAGACTCCTGCCCCGAAAAAAGAGTGCATCCAGAGGATGTGATGTGCCGTGTTGTTGTGTTGTAATGAAGGCGCAGAAGGTGCCAAAATTATGTGCAACGTGGACTGTAATTTTCGCACCGAAGGTGCTTAAAGACCCTGCCATTTCTTCATCACTGAAATTGCCCGAAATCGTCGGCCCCGTGTCGCTGTGGTGGCTGCCACACTCTTTAATCAGCTAAATGGACTGTTGAAAATTCGGCAATTGGCAGCGTAATCACCTTCTGGCAGTGGCAGGCAGCTCCCGGAGCCATCCTTCCATCCATCCTTCGATTGTTTGCAGAATGAGAGCCACTTGGAGCCGCAGACTCAATTTGCGGATGGATATGGGGGTGTGGCAGCTGGGCGGTGCCCCCAATCGAGCGACCTAATGTTCCTTGGTTTCATGAGCAGTTTGATTGGGGACAAGGAACTCCAGAGACACCAAAGAGGCCCTCATAATCGAAGGCAGGCTGCAACCGATCGAATGGAGGCACCTACCTCCAGATGCAGTTAGACGTCGCTTCGGGGGCTATCTGTTGACCCTCTCCTGGGAGGTTTTTCGTCTATAGATACTCCACGGTGTGTCCTTGTCCTTTCTCAATTAATTTATTCAAAAGCCAATGCTCCTGTGTCCCAGATATCACGATAAGATACAGAGAACGAGAACTATCTGGAGGATAAACCAGAATTAAAACTGGATTTCAGATTTCATTTTCATCCGCGAATAGCACTTTCAATTGTCGTCTGAGACCGAGTGAAATCCCCCATCCCCCATCCCACATCCCGCATGTGGCAGGGCAGGGCAGGGCAGGGCACACACAATCAAGAGTCAATCCAAGATCCAGTGGCACGCACGACTGGACCTGCCTCAAGAGCGGGGCAGGGGGTAGGCAGACGCCAATAAGTGAATGGTTGGCATAACCGTTTAAAGTTAATTACGATCACGATTATGATTATGATTATGCTCTCTCATGAGAGCTTAACTTATCAGCCGCCCATCAAAACGGAGGGGATTACAGATCCGCAGATCTACAGTGGAATCGGAGGAATCGGAGGCATCGGAGGCATCGGAGGAGGATGGAATCGGAATATCAATGAGCAGGGAAGAGGCGAAGGGAAACCCGAGAACAGGTGCTAAGGAGAGGAGAGGCCACGGAGAAAAGAGTGAATAAGAACCAAAGTAAATAATAACAACAATTAATTTAGTTCCAACAAAATTATGGCCATGGCAATGGGTTGGCTGGGGATTCTGTGGATGGATGCAGGGCACGTAGACGGCACGGGTTGCAAGCAGACCACGAAGTGCCAGAGGAAGTGGCAAGCAGCAGACGGAAGACGGTAGACTGCGGCAAGCCGCCAACCCAACAGCTGCAACAGCCACAGCCGCAGCGCTCCTTTGGACACAACTTATGCTGGCGGACGGCCTATTGGCTCCTTTTGCTGCCACTGCCACTGCTGCTGCATGAGGCATGAGGCTAGAGGAGGCAAGATTTACATGCCTGGTGCATGCCCCGAGCCAGGGCTAGCACGTGCCTCGCATTCAATGCCGACAGTCGCGTTCGGTAAAGGTGCAAACATTGCAAATAACAGAAAAAACTCCCACGTTCATTTATTCGGAGATGGGAAGCCTCCTCCTCCCCACTCCGCACTCCCCACTCGAGAGTGATAGATTGGTGATCCCTCCCTCTCCTAATATGATCAATCACTTTGCTCTTCACTCCAGAGATCTGTTGTTCTGTTCTGTGTGGCTGTCTGTCTGTGATTCCCGCCCCATGGAAACAGTCCAAACAAAGCCACTGACAATTGCCTTTGACAGTTTTTGCCGTGGTACTCGCATCTTTCGGATGCTGTTTATTTTTTGCATATGCTGATTCCTGATTCCATGGGAGAGATCGAAGGCGAGAGAGGAGAGTGATTGATATTTCGGGACAAGGCAGGAGCAGCAGCAGCTGTTTTGGCAGCAGACGAGATCCATTGGTCTAATGGATATTTAAAGTGCCATTCGGAAGAGGAGGAGGAGGAGAAGTTTGAGCCAAGAAGTGAGCCAAAAGAGTCGCAGACTTTGCATCCATAAATCTCTCTTCCGCTCTCTCTGTCTTTGCATCAATAAATGCAATTAAATTGCGATTCCCCCGATTCCCGCATATCCCGATATTGTATCTTTTTGTCGCGTGCCCAAAAGGTGGCAGCGTGCCCCGTGAAACCGTACAAAAACCACGCGAAACAACAAACCCACTAATTAACAACGGGAACTCGAATCCGCAACAGAATCGCGGGCGTACTATCATCGAAATTCAAATTAGCAAAGGACCCAAAACAGGACGAAACACCGGGCAAATAATAGAAATAAAATTGGGAATAGAAAACCCGAAAAACCCGAAAAACCATGGCGAAAATTGGCATTTTTATGTGGAATTTGTACGCCCTTTTGGGCCCTCGAAGGTAAACAACAAATCGAATAACGAAAAACAACAAAAGAGAGGAAAGGGGAGGTGGGGGGAAAGCCACCACGATTTTGTGGGCCATGGGCCATAAATTACTCGAATCATTTGGCCCAGAACGACCTCGTCACCGGCCAAAGGGCCACCACTCGAATATGCAACGGGGAAGGCGGGGGGGAGCTATCTTTTTGAGGAGCGTAAACATTTCATTAGTCAAAGGACATTTATGCTGAGAGAGAGAGAGGGAGGAGGGGAGGGAGGCAGGGAGGGATGGTATTCGCATTCGATGCTAATTTTCAGAATATAAATTATGTTCCTTTGACAGTCGTGCCAAATATGGGATACGGATCGAAGTAGAGGATCCACAAACGTCCATCAAAAGAGATGGCTATCGGTGTTTTCCATTTCGATTGCTATCAGTGTTTTCCAAGGATCGATCCTAGAAGACCACACAACGGCACTCTTGGCGGGTTCCTATGGGGTTCCCAATATGTCAACATTTGCCAACTAATTAAATCGTGAGTGAACATTAAATGCCAAACACTTTTATAAGGAAAATCCCACAAAATCTCCACGGGATCTCAAGAGCTCAAGACTCGCTTGGACGTCGCGTCGCCCCGAGGGCAAATCACACACACCACACCACACACTTCACACCTCCCCGAACCTCGAACGAACACCGCATCTCACACCTTGCAACAGACACAAGATTCGGCCAGACACAGACACAGACACATCCTGTGGCGCATGGCAAGAGATCGTCGTCGTGTCACTCGAAGGCGTCTCTTGGGCCTGCCACCTGCCGGGCTCGTACACGGGTCTTTACCTTTGCCACACGTTGATGCTACAATTACCTGGTAATGCGAGTAGACGACGACCACAGAATTACCAAACACAGGAGAGGCACAGGAGATGCGAGACGTAGAAGATGTCCCCCGGCCACAGAGGAAGATGCAGCTGAAGAGCTGCCACTGCAACTGCATCTTAAAGAAGTCATCAGTTTGAAGTTGCAACTTAAACTACTATATGTATATGTTTGGCATAGGGATTGCTACTTCAGCAATCCCAAATGCAGGAACAATCATAAAGAAAATGAGAGTTTAGATCTTCTTTAAGAGTTCCCCTATAATGTATCGCAATAGAAGTTTTAGATACACTTTCAATCATTCAATTTATACGATTTACCCTTCGAAAGAAAAAGGGAGGAATATCTGGGGATATTTATTGGATTACTTTGGGAAACAAAACGTTTTCACACTGGGAACTACCGACCAGAGACGACCCTTCCTTCCTTCTGCTGGAGAGAAGAGACGAGAAGCGACCAATATAAATCCAATTAGCACGCCTTTGTCTGCCACGGAACTCACAGGAAAAGGAAGGAAGGAATGGAAGGAGCGGTACGGAAAGGAAAAGAAAGGAAACAAATGAAGAGGAAGGAGGAAGGAATACACACAATGGAAGGAGCACTTAACACACTTCATCGGCTCGCTCTCAGGGGATCTTTCTCTCTGGTGATCTCTCGAGGAACCAGCCACAAAAGAGCGGACTGTGGTGGAGGGGTGTGTGGTGTGTGCTGCTTGGTGGTGTCCTCGCCCCGAAAGTTTATGACTTGCGCACCTTTTGTGCTCGCCATTAAACGCTATTAGCGGGCATTTAAGGATCTTCTTTGTGTCTTTGTATCTCCGTATCGCCGTATCGCCGTATCTGTATCTGGTGTTTAGTGCTTGATGGGAAGAGGTCACAAAGGTTAGCCCTCGAGAGGGAGAGGCGAGTGCTGGGGGCACCACACCTAATCTCTAATAAGCCGCAAGCACGCAAACAAGTTCTCACGTTGCGCAACAAAACTGGAGCAAGAATCACTCTGCCTCCTGCGTCTGCCCCTGCCGCCTGCCGCCCGCCTCCTGCCACTCCAGGAGTATCTCCTGCGTAGGCGCAGCAATGTGGCATGCCCCTGCTACAGGAACTCGCGACTGTAGATGGGTGTGTGTGGGAAGTGGCTGCTGACGCGTGTTATTTATGGACTACTGCGAATGTTGCATGCAATTGGATATGGGAAGAGTTCTCGTTCTCTCCCAGGGAGGATCGGGGGGCAGAGATGATCGCCAAGAACATGGAAGCCAACGCCCAGTGTCACTCCACGGACAGAATCGCATCAATTTCCAGCACTTTATGGTGACATAATCCCCGATTCCCCAGACTCCACTCCAGTGGGGAGTCCTATAAAAGCCAGGGATCTGCGGCTCCAGCCTTCAGTCAGAATGTGGCGTCTCTGTGGATTCAACCTGCTGCTGCTGCTGCTCCTCTGCGGAAGGAGCCATTCCATTGATTCCGAGCCGGAGGAGGAGGAACCGGACCCCGACGATCCCATTGGATTGAACAAAGAACTCTCCGATCTGGTCATCACCACGGCACTGGGCAAGATCAGAGGCACCATCCTGCCCTCCCAGTCGGGGCGCAACTTCTTTGCCTTCCGGGGGATACCCTATGCCAAGGCGCCCGTGGAACGACTCCGATTCCGACCCCCAGAGCCCGTGGAGCAGTGGTACGACGTCTTCGACGCCACCTTCGACGGACCCAAGTGCCCGCAGCCGGGACTCGTCAGCGAGGACGTGAGCGAGGACTGCCTCCGGCTGAACGTGTACACGAAGGAGCTGCCCAACGAATCGCAGCTGAATGTCCGGCGACCGGTGATCGTCTTCATCCACCCTGGCGGCTTCTACTCCCTCTCGGGGCAGAGCAAGAACTTCGCGGGTCCCCAGTACTTCATGGACCGCAGCCTCGTCCTCGTCACGTTCAACTACCGCCTGGGATCGCTGGGATTCCTGGCCACTGGCACCAAGGAGGCCACCGGCAACATGGGTCTCAAGGACCAGGTGCAGCTGCTGCGCTGGATCAAGCTGCACATCTCGCGCTTCGGAGGGGACCCCAATGCGGTCACCCTCTTGGGCTACGGGGCCGGAGCCATGGCTGTGACGCTGCACATGGTCTCGCCCATGTCGCGGGGCCTCTTCCACCGGGCGATCGTGATGAGTGGCGCCGCCACGGGGCAGTGGACGCTGCCCGAGCACCAGATGGAGGTGGCCATGCGGCAGGCGACGCTCCTCAGCTGCCACACGGACAACACCACGGAGATGATTGACTGCATGCGAGGGGTAAGCCAATGGACCAGGATCTAGTCCTTTCTTATCCTTTACCCGCCGACAGAAACACTATCTGGAGTACGCAAATACCCTGCCGCAAATGTTCGACTTTGGGCGGAACAATCCCCTGATTCTGTGGAAGCCCGTGGTGGAGCCGGACTTCGGGCAGGAGCGCTTCCTCGTGGAGAGTCCTGTGCAGAGCTTCCAGAACGACGACTTCATGAAGGTGCCCATCATCACGGGCATGACCAAGGATGAGTTTGTGGGTCCCGCCCTATGTGAGTGTCCCTCGAAGATCTCCTCCTCAAACTGTAGAGATTCTTCCTATTCCCAGCTATCCTCCAGAGTCCCTCCCTGCTGAGCACTCTCAACGCGAACTTCGAGACCCTGGCCCCCATATTCTTCATGTTCAACGAGAGCAATCCTCGGGCGGCGAACATCAGCCAGGAGCTGCGGGAGTACTACTTCCAGCAGGAGCCCATCGATGCCAACCGCTCCCTGGCGGCCCTCTCCTCGCTCTACTCGGATGCCCTCACCGGGTTCGGGATCCATCGGTTCGTGCATCTGGCTGCGAGGTCCACCAAGGTGTACTGCTACCGATTCGCGTATCAGGGGGGTAGAAGCCACATCTACTATCCGGAGGATGCCCCCTACGGGGTGGTGCACCACGACGACCTCATGTATCTGTTTGTGGAGCCATCGATCAGCCGCATGTTCACGGAGGATGACGACGAGTTCCGAATGGTGGACATAATGGTCAGGATTTTCTCGGCCTTCGCATACAAGGGGTAACCATAGCAGTGGCCGATCCTCTTGCGTCTCTTTTCCACCAAAGGATCTCCATCTTTCCAGGGATCCCAATAAACCCACGGACGCTGCCCTGCGGGACGTCCGCTGGCGTCCCTTCAGCTTCAAGAAGCGCTACTATCTGGACATTGGCGATGAGCTCGTCCTCCACGAGAATCTCAACTCCGAGCGCTACGAGATATGGAAGCGTCTCTTTCCCTTGAATTGGCGTCGCCAAACGAAGGACGTCTAGCTCTGTGGGAAGGGGCTATGTTTTGGGCCCTACTGTACTTGAAATATACGCCACTTGGCCTTCATTCGACTTTGTTTTACTGCCGCTGCTGTTGCTTGACTTGATCCTCTTTTCCATTCAGTTGCCAAGTGACGAAGTGACGAAGCCAATTGGCATATTTATTGTTGTGTTTTCCTCCAATTCGATGGGTTTTTAGGGTCTGTTTTTAGGGGGGGGGTGGGGTGTGTCATCGTCTGTGTGGGTGCATATATTATACGACAGTCGACAGGGCACCAGATAACAGCCCTACGACTCGCACTCGTAGTACGTGTCGTGCCGTGCATTATGGGTTCTCGTTGTCGGTTGTCGGTAGTCGTTGATCGCGTGCCAGTGCTTGCCTGCACTGAGAGAAATTACAGCAAAGTTGTGGATCAAGTTTGGGAACATATATGTAATCCTTTGGGGCTGATTCCAAGTTTACGGAAATAATTTCTAAGAGGAGGTGCAATTTTTTATTGAAAATTCCTTCTGTTGGACAGATGGAGATGTCGAATACGCGCATATATGCTATATGGAGTCGGAAATTATGCCTTATGTGCGGTCCCTCTTCCTTCAATATGCATTGATCATCAATATGCCAAATCATGCACACGACATGTATGTGGTTTTTGGATTTATTAGAGCCAAACTTGAGCTATCGAGTCTCAGGGTCTTCGGGCAGTCTCTTTTGAATTCTTTTGCATGTATCTCGGACTATTAGTTTCTCTCAGTGCAGAGGCCACCTCCGCACATGCCACACACACACACACACACACACAGCACCTCTGTGATGATGATTGGTGCCACCGCACGACACATCTGTGTTGCTGCCACTATTTTGTATTTGTAATTTTATTGCCGCTCTTCTTATCGGAGTTTTCGAGTTTTGGTTACGCTCCAGAGCATGACTATGTCAAAGGAGGAGAGGCTTCCAACTCGAGCCCGTGGCCCGTGGCTCGTGGCTGATGTCCTGCTGCTCATTAGCATACTTGCAACATATGACGCTTGCCACCGCCACCGCCACCCAGCCAGCTATCCCTCCAATTGGAAGGCAATCCAATCATGAGTCACGCTATGGGATCGTTGCATCATTGCATCCTGCGGGGGTGCCGCCTGTTGTTGCAAGTTGGACTGCCTAATATATTAATTTATGCAAATTGTTGCAGGCCACTGCCACAGATACCGTATCTGCGATCCAAATGGATCCGATGTATGTCGGGGTTGCTCTTTTTGATCGTTTCCACTTTAGGCTTTAATTGTTTCGCTTGTCAGCAGCGCGGCAGAGCGGCAGAGCAGCGGCCTCCGAATGGGAGCATATGTTGCACTGAATGTTGCATGTTGCCATAATTTGTTAGATGCAAAAGTAGAGCAGGGCAGGGAGGGAGGGGTGGCTGGCGGAGTTTCACTGGGAATTGGCATTCCAATTTCCAGCGAAATATTTGGACAAGAGGCCAGAGAGTCGCCTCGCATCGAGTCGCATCGCCTTGCAGTAGATTTCGATTTCCATTTCCGCGAATCGAAGCGCAAATAAAGTTGTGAGAGCGATCCACCAGGCGACGTCTATGCCCCCAGGGTCTCTCCTCGATATCAGATGGAGGCGTGGAGGAGTCCCGAGGCCCGAGGCCCCAGGCTACGGCTGCATTTCATGCTGAGACCTGGGGACTGCAACTGTGCTGCACACAACAGAGTGCCTGGCTGTGCCACAGAGACGCACACACGAGTGTCTTGCCTGGCATTTGGCATTTGTTGGTTTTCGGTTTTGGCTTTGGCTTTGGCTGCTTTTTATTGACTGATGGAAATCGCTCAAAAAGCAGTTGAAATTTCACTGCAGCTCTCTTGGCCACAAAATGTAATTAGATTGCAGCTCCAGCTCCATCTGTAGCTCCAGCTACAGCTCTGACTCTGAGGAGTCCTCCCAATCGCACCACAAACCTCTGCGGCGACTGTGGCACCTCCTTCTGTGGTTGGGTGCAATGCAACGCGTGCTTGGAACTCCTGCTGTCAACATCAATGCGCAGGAATCTCTTCGCTGCTCTTCTCGCCGGGGCTGTGGCAGCAATGAAGTTGTCTGGCAATTGACGCGCGATAAGCCCCAAGAGACCCATGCCCCATGCCAGAGGCACCGTTTGAGGAGGCAAGTTTCAGGCGCAAAACAAAGGCGATCTCTTCTCCACTGCATCCTCTCGGTCGTCGGATGTCGCTCTTACATAGAAAAATTTGCACAAACATCACAAAACTCATAAATAACAACAACAACGACAACGACAGCAGCCGCAGTCGCAGTCGCAGCTGAGGCCGAAGCCGCAACACTTGCAACAGCCAGAGAAATAGTGTCTCCACCGCCTGGAGGGACAAACAGACGCAGACGCAGACACAGACTCCTTGACTCCGACTCCGACTCCGACTCCTCGGTTTGCGATGGATAATGTGCATTGCACACATCACAATTTATGAGTCACTTGGGTCGCAGCAATGCCAGGTATTTATTGGGTGGAAGTTCAGCAGAAAAGAGGGGCACAAAAGAGGGGCAGCCGTAGCAGCAGCGGCAAGGAGGGACCTGCATGGGTGTGGGTGTGGGTGTGGGAAATGTTCTAGGAAGTGGGTTAGAACTCCTCAGGGGAAAGTCTTCCTCTGGCAGGAGTAATCTGCATTGCGGTGGCATGTGCCCCAAATCTAAAAGAGAGAGGGGGAGAGAAGTGTTGGTGGTGCTGCTGCTCGGGTATTATCCCAGTTTATGGTGCATGTCATGCCCCATGGTACATCGTATACCCTATTATCACCCACTTCTGACCACCGAGCAATTAGCATAGAGAGCGAAAGAGAGAGAGAGAGAGTGAGAGTGAAAAGCATTTAACAGACAATTGCGTGCAGCGTGCCGCATGGGGCATGAGGCGCGTGGGCGATCCATCAGATGGAAAATGGAAATATGCTGATAAGCTGGCGAGAAAACCATTAGCAAATGGAGAGGGGGAGGGGAGGGGGGAGGTAACAGGAGGGTGGAATCATTTTTAATAATTTCCTCGATCCTGTGGCGCTGCATATTGGAAAACCGTTCAAGTGGCAGCTTTGGGCCGACGAGTGTCGCGTGCCACGAGTCGATCGCAAGCTGCGTCTCGCATCTCATGCTGTGGAATGGCTGGGAGGGGAGGGGATGTCCTGTCTGTCAGCCTCCTCCTGCGGAAAGGATGTCAAGCAGCAACGAGGAGTAGGAGCAGCAGGAGCGCTCTCTCCCCGTGTGTTTTGTCTGTTGTCATCGCGCGGCATCGGGTTTCAATAATAGTTTCATCTCCTGTATCCCCTGTATCTCCTGTATCAGCGATCCGCAGCATCCTTGTTGTTCCTGCAGCTTTCGACTGGCCATGGATGATGGATCGTGTTGCACGGTTATTGACTAACTGACTGACATGCAACGGCGCCCTCCTCCCCCTGTGCCTCCCTGCAGGAGGGTGTTCTCTAATGGAAAACCCGAGAGATTCCACTCTCGACTCTCGAGTATCTTTCGGATAAACTCTGACGCTGAGGCAGCAGCAGATTCATTCTCTGGCCAAAAAAGAAGCCCTCGCATTCCACAGCCCTCGAGTTATTTGTTTTTTATACGTTTTTTAAGGTTTTTCCTGTCAGAAATTCTACTGGTGGGTCAAACGATACAAATGTATCTCTACCTTAAAGATACACCTGATTGATGACAAATTTGAAGTATAAGAAAGTTGCACTCGAACAGTCGAAAGCCCAGCCTTGATTGATTAATGGATGATCAATCAGTCGATCAGTCGCTCAGTCGATCAGTCGCTCAGTCGCCTCTTCGACTGTCAACAGTTTAGTTGATCGCTTAACTAATTGCTCAATAATGGGGGATCCATCTGCCATCTGTACCTGTCTCCCGAGCCCTAAATATCTCTAGGATCCATTAGAACAAGTGCAGCATCCATCCCTTCGTGGGGCATGCATCCCAGCCTGGGGCCAGGCCGCGCAGAGCATTCCCCTTTCCCAGAGCTCCCCTTTGGAGACTCCATTAATCAACGCACACTCGAGGAATACGCTTCATACAATTTCATTAATTGTGGCAGGGAAACAGCGTCGTACGACGCAGTGGCAGAGTGGCAGTGTGGCAGCAAAGAAGGAAGAAGAACAACATCCACACACCACACCACACACCCGCATGCCACTCGAGAGAGTTTCCCACGAAGCACCGAGGCACCGAGGCACCGAATACGAACTGTTCCAGTTGCTGTTTGTCCAAGAGCATGCCTCTGCCCCTGCCCCCGCCCCTGCCACTGACCATGGGATGTGGCGCTAGTACATTAACCAGGTCTCTCAGGTGCCCCCCGAAGGGGCAGAAGGGGGGGCGCAGAGCATTAGCCAGTGCGAGCACGTAGATCCCCGTGGACAGCCGTCGAAAGGTGGAACCAGAAAGAGTTACGCTGCTGCAGTTCACGCGAAATTCACCGAATTACAGCTGCCACACAGATGCCCCAGTAGCAGTGGCAGTGGCAGCCACAGAAGCAGAGGCAGAGCCAGAGACAGAGGCAGAGGGCAGCATTCTATGCCCTCATATTGTCGTAGTTCCAGTGTCAACGTCAACCACGTAATCAACTTACGGCACGGGGGAAACCCATCATCATCATCATCCCTTTCTATTCCTGCAACAGCCACAAAAAAACAGAACAGAAATTGCAACAATCCATCCCCCGAACCGGGCCTCTCCTCCTCCTCGAGGCTGTGTCTTGCCTCTCTGAGGAGTGGAGGGACGGGGAGTGAAGGGAGGGGAGGGGTGCTCTCTCCTCTAATGTTTGGTTTCATTAGTCCTAAGCGACAAATCAAACAGTTTGTGGCAGTTTCTGTTTGTTGTTGTACTCTCGTACTCTCTCGTAGTGCCTCGTACTCTTGCATTGGATTTTTTCCACTGCCACACAGATCCATCCGTTGTTTACACTCATTAGTTGGTCCTTCAGTCGGTCCTCTGCCTGTCCTCTGTGTCCTCTGCCTGGGTCCTGGGTCTCACACCCTCTCTCTCGTGACAACTAGCATACGCTTCCTTCCTCTCGGTTCCAGGCCCAGGCCCAGACCCAGTTCCAGGGGGTAAACTGATTTGATTTCCGTTTGGTGTTTGAGGGTGCCATTGAGGGTGCCCATGGACGATGTTTGTTGTTTCATTTTCATTATTTAAAGCACATTAATAATCACATTTGACAACAGCAGAAGCGGTGGCAGTGGCACTGCCAGTGGCGGTGGCAGGAGTCGCATATCGGAAAACTGCAAACAAATATTTGCAAAGGACGAGTGCCGATTCCTGTGTGGCATGGCACTTAACGCGCTTGTAATGATGATGCCAGCCGGGGAGGGGGGGGGGGCGGTTTCGTTCGAACCAATTCTCGGTGGCTGCGCTTTTTATGGCCATCGAATTGGGTGCAAAAACAGATGGCAATCTATTCCTCAGGGCGGGGAGTGGATAGTGGGCGGAGGGTGTTGCAGTTGATTATTGGTTTGTGGCGGAGAGACTTGTGGATTCCGATGGGTGGTCTCTTGTGCATAATTAGGTGTAGGCTTTAAGGGACAGCATCTCCAGGGTCCCCATCTTCCCCTTTTCGTTCTTTGGGTCATTCTTCAAACCAAAGCGACATCGAGGACAGAAGGAGTGAGAGGAGACAACAAAAGACACACTCACTCGGACCACCCACACACAGCCACAGCCAGAATGGAACCCTTTGGAGGAGTAGCCTGCGTGGCCCTGCGATAGACAGTCAGAGCCAGAGACAGAGCCAGAGACAATGGAATACTTACACATGTGGATTGTTCATTTGCTTATCGAATATGTAATCGAATGGGCATATCAGTGCACGACAGAAAACAACAACTAAAACGTGGAAAACAATTAATTCTGTGGCCTTTTGATGTGAGAACACTTTCACCCATAAAAAACACACACACACACACAGAAAGCGGAGAAAGGACCGCTTTTTCCCAGTCGCTTTGATGTTTGCTGAGCCTGAAGGAGGGCGCAGAGGGGAGGGGGTTTGTGAGGCATGCAGCAAGTGCGGGGCAATCATTAATCAAAGCAATTTACATTTGTCCAAATATTTGATCAAGGAAAAGTATCCCAGAGATTGTTTTGCTCCTCGGGATGCTGCTGTCTGTGTGTCCACGGGATAGGCGCCACCAAAAGCAAGGAATGGGAAAATTAATGAAGTTGTTTTTGGGATCCAAGATGGAGAATCTCTCTGTCCCCTCGACGATGCCTGTCCGAGTGGCAGATCCTTTCGTTTCCACGAACTCGCATCGATCATCGATTGGGGAACGATAATGCGATAATGGAACTCAATCCGAACCTCAATTGAAACCCAAATAAAAATACTCTTTCCCTGGGATCCTGCCGGACAAAAGTGGCCCTCGGTTCGTGGTCTTCCTTCCCAGAAATTACGCATAACAAAGCGCTCCTGCTCCGCTCTTTGCTCTCTCTTTGGGCTGTGAATCCTCCCCCCTTCGTGCACACGGGGCATGCCACTCTCTCAATTTGTATTGTCATTAGCGATTATGAGCCCCTCGAATCGGTCGCATCAGTCGGGCCGTGGGGCGTAATCCGATATGTTGACAGAACGCATAAACACACACGAAAAGAGAGAGAGACAAGGAGCAGGAGGAGGAGGAGGAGGGGATCCCAGGAGATGGGAACAGACAGAGGACGGACGGCTGACAAGCCTATAAAGCATTCAAAATCCTTGGCGCTACTTCAAAATGTTTACTCCTTTTGTGAACTCAATAAAAACGTAATCAAACCCGCAGCCAAAGAGGAGAGAAGCGAAGAGAAGGACGAGGCCCAGGACCATGGATGATGCGTCACAAAACACAAAAAAAAAAGAGCAAAGGACTCGGAACCAGGTTTTCCATCGAAACGCACTCCGTGATGCAGGGAGGGGCGTAGCGAAAGTGAAATCGAGACGCCGCAGCAGCATGTAGATCGGATCGGCAGCTGGAACACCTTCGCATCATCATCATCATCATGCCCATCCTTCAGCCTCCTCCAGGATCAACGCTCGAGAGGCAGGCTCTGTTGTGTTAGACGCTCTCTCGCACACACAAAAGGAAGGGGCACAGCCGAAGTCAAAAGGGGCACGCGCTGGCTGCTCTCCGGCCAGCCTCTGCCTAGACAGCCAGGAGAGGCAGCGGAGGAGACAATGTGACTGACTGATCGGCGGGTTCCGTGTTCCGTGTGTGTGGTGTGGTATGCTCTGATCCTCACAGATCTCCCTCTATCTCTCTTTGTGGGTTCTGCTGTCTAGACAAGCCGCAGACACAGACACAGATACAGATACAGATGCAGACACAGATACAGATACAGACACAACTTTTAATAGACTTATTGTAATTGAGTCACAAAAGCCACTCGATGTCTGTCGATCTGTGGGCTGTGGATATCCATTTCCATTCGCCCTTCAACTCTTCAACTCTTTTTCCCTCGAAATTCCAGCTGCCACATTTTGTGGAAAGGTGCTAGCCCTCTTCCCCTCCCCTCTCTGATGATCTCTTGATTATTTTGAATGCAATTTTGCGTACATTTTGAATGAAAATTTAATTAAAATTTGTGCAAATGTTTTGCCCATTTTTTCCTTTGTCCTCCTGTCTCCTTCCTTTGTGCCCCGTCATGTGGCATATGTCATGTCATGCATTTTGTCAAGTTTTGACTTCTTCTTTTTTTTTTTTGGTGTGTGGCATCCCAAAAGGGAATTTGCGGCACATGTTTGCCCTTTGCCGCATTTTGCTGGATGCCTGGATGTCTGGATGCTTTTCCTGGGGTTTTCCCAAGCTAACAAGTTAATTTTCCATATTTTCTTTGGCCCAACTTTCGCCAAGAGTCATCCTCTGTGTGTGTCCCGTGTGTGGTGTGTCCTTTGTGGCTAAATTTACGACTTGACCCAGAGATGAGTCCCTGCTAATGAGTGGAGTCTCGTCTCGTCTCGTCTCTTTCTGATGGATATCTGGTAGGGCTTTAAACAGAAATAAAGCACAGACGAAGCTCCACGCCACTCCCCCTCGTAATGAGCGTGTATCCCCCATTCAACCCCCTCCCTCCGTTGGGGGTGGGCGAGGCAGGGCCTGGCTGATAATCCTTTTGTATCCGCATTCGCATTCGCATTGTTTGGGATGTTTCACGCAAGAGCAAATCGTAAATGTCAATAGCAGGGTCCTTTCCCAGTGTGTAATCTGCTCCAGGATGCCAGGAGGATGGGAGGATGTGTGTGTGTCCTCCTCCAACCTGACAATTACATTAATTCAAAGCTCACAAAGGTCAGAGTTCGCCCCACAACCCCCCCTCGGAGCCAAAGCCAGAAACATTTAAAGACAAATTAATGTGTATTTAAGCTGCTGCCTCCTGCCCCTGCGCCTGCCCCTGCCCCCCCTGAAAAAGCGGAGACTAATTGCCCCAAGGGAAGGCAGAGCCACGGAACTCGTCGAGCTGGAAACACGGAAAATCTCACGCCTTTGTTGATTAATTAATCAAAGTAAATAGTTGCAATGCTCCCCCTCGAACAGGGGAGGGAGGAGAGTGGAGGGGCGACCCGAACCGAGAGAGACCATCATTAAGCGTAATCTAAACGGCCTATTGATAAGCTTTTTCCACACCTAATTGCTACATTAATTTCCATCGAGAGCCGCGGAGCCGAAGAGCCACAGCCCGGAGGCCACACCAGTGGCCCAGGCGATGGCCACGAGGGCGACGATGTTTAGCTGCTGCTGCCTCCGGGCCACGCCCCCGCCCAGGGCGGGCGTGGGAAAGAGCTCGTCCCAGACGGCATATCGTTCGGGATAGCCAGGCGGACCCACCTCTGTGGCCACATCGTTGTAGAGCATAGCCGTGTCGGTGGCATTGCAGGGCGGCCAGTAATCGTGCTCCTCCTTGGGGGATAGAGGTGTGCTGCAACAGAGGAAGGCATGAGGATAGAGGGTGCTCTTTTTCATAGAGGATATCCCCCGCATACCCTGTCCGTGCAAAGTGCGCAAACCAATTGGTCAAACGCTTCATCATGAAGAGATCCGTGTGATTCTCAGCCATGATGGTGCCGTACCAGAGGCTGGGCATCACGTACTGCAGATCGTCCGCATGCCCCACGCCCAGGGGCAGCTCCTGGTCGTCCGTCGGAGCCGAGAGGCTGCGCTTTCCCACGTAATCCGTTCGCATGTAGTAGACGGGGGTGAAGCGCCTGGCCAGCTGGACCAACCGGTGGATGCCATGGCCAATGATGCCATCCGAGAAGATGCTTCCGAATCGCTCGATGTTGTGCGCGGAGATCTCCGAGACGTTGCTCCCCAGATAGAAGTCCTTGAGGCGGCGACTGACGGAGGAGTCGGGCTGGTAGAGGAACAACTCGGGAGCGTACTCCTCGAAACTGGACCCAAGATCGTGCAGCAGAGGATCGTTCTCCAAATGAACTAAAAGGGAAAGTCAGTAAGGGATCTACACAGAAGGATGCCCTCACCATTTGCCGTGTAGTCCAATTCGTTGGCCGTAAAACTCACGAGGAGCGGCACTTGGCTGAAGTTTCCCTCCGCCAGGAGCTCCGTGGGATGTCTGGGCAGGAAGTGGCCATCGATCTCGTAGTTCCACTTCATATTCACGAACTGGAAGGACTCCCAGGCCTTGCAGACCTCCACGATCCGAGTCCAGGCCACGTCGCGCAGACACTGGACCACATCCGCGGCCTCGTACATGGGACAGCCGACTTCTCGGGCCAGTTTCTGCGTCCAGTAGACATTGTCGATGGCAAAGTGATTCGTGGCGGAGCCACTCATGAGGATGGCCCGATGGAAGAGGCCGCGGGAGAGGGGCGATGCCAGGTGGAGGCTCACCGCCATGGATCCGGCACTCATCCCGAAGAGCGTGACGTTCTCCGGGTCTCCCCCGAAGCGGGCGATGTGGTCCCGCACCCACTGCAGGGCCATCACTTGGTCCAAGTATCCGAAGTTCCCGGTTACAGTGCTGCCCAGAGGGCGCAGGAAGCCCAGGGCCCCCAGGCGATAGTTGAAGGCCACGAAGACCACCTCGTGGTCCAGCAGATACTGCGGCCCCGCCTCGTACAGGCTGTGGCCGCTGCCCAGGACATTGGCCCCCCCATGGATGTACACGATCACGGGCAGCAGCAGCAGAGGATCCTCCTCGGGGTCCAGGTTCCTCGTGAAAACATTCACCTTGAGGCAGTCCTCGCTCATCAGCAGCGAAATCCCGGGCTGTGGGCACACGAGAGAATCAGAGGTGGCCTTGAGGACCTCCTCCTGCCCCCAGCCAGTGGCTGCCTGGGGAGCGGCGAAGCGCAGCTGCCCCACTGGGGGCTGGGCGTAGGGTATGCCGCGGAAGGCGTAGATCGTCTTTCCCTGGAAGCTCTGCATCGTAGAGCCCTGAACGCGCCCCAGGGAGAGCTCTACCACAGGCGGATCTTGGGCGAAGGAGGACCCGATGGCCAGCAGGAGTAGGAGGTGGAGTAGGAGTGGGCAAGGCATTTTCCGAATCGGTTTTCACTGTGGGAAATGTCGAAACACCCGCATGGGAGATCTGCGAGCGCGGAACTGCCGAAAGATTCGCACGGCCTCTGCCTTTGCTTTCGGGAGAGCGAGAGGGAGGGAGAGAAAAGAGTTTGTTCACAGATAAGTTTATTCGAAATCGGATCGATTAGAACTAGAACCGAGATTAGCCTTCGTTTGTGGTCTAAGAATAGTTCATCGATTAGGAAAACTCTCTTTATTCGACGAGTATTTTCATTCGCATTCCCTGACCTTCAGGCACTCTCTTTCCCTCTCTTTCTGTCTCTCTCTCTTTAGGCCCTTAATTGCCGCCTGAACTCCAATTCTCAATTGAAACTTATTGCTTCATTCCATTCATCGAGTGATTTGAGAGTTCTGTTCTGTTGTTGCATGTGACAGTGGCAGGGGTTTGGCAGCCGTTAGACGGCACACATCACCCTGATTTGCAGGGATCCGTGGTCGAGAGGACGGGTGGAGGGGGGGATCGCAGATCCTACGCCCGCAGATTTTTTAGAGTTTAGTTTTTCTCATGCGGACTGAGATTTAAATTGATTTCCTTATTAATGCACAGAGTACAGCCATCCCTCTTGTAATATTCAATTAAAACGGAACCCACGATGGCACATTCAGTCATTCAGTGCCGTCGTTGATTGATACACTGTGCTCTCCGGAGAGTGGTAATTACTCTGGGATCTATGGGATCTCCTTCTCCCCAGTCGGCGGCAATGATGGTCTCTTTCTCTCTTAATTGTGGCACTGCTTTTGGGCTCTAATTGCGGCAGCCGAAAGCAGGAAATGGCTGGAGTATTGATGCCACCGCAGATTCATATTCATATTCATATATTCCCCCAGAGATCACAAGGAAAAACATTTTCACACATCGCGGAGTAGCCTCAATTCAATCAGGGACCGAAAACGTTGAAAATTGAAACAATTTGCGACAATCTGCTGCTGCCTCTGTGGCTGCTGCTGTTGCACGGTATTCCGGACACTTGAGTGCTCATATGCACACCGCAGCACCGCAGGAGCCGCAGAGAAGCCTCCGCAGAAGCAGAAGCAGAAGCTTCAGAACCACCCTACGACAGCCATGCCCCCCCTTTCCCGATCCCCGAACGGCGATCCTCAACCGGAGACCACTCGAGTTGTTGCAAATATATGAGTGGCCTCTTGACAGACATCGTCGTGGCCACGGCCGTGACTGTGGCTGTGGCTGTGGATGGAAGCTCAAACTGTGTCTGCCACTTGAGGGTTCTTTGTGTGCGGCTGTTTGTGTGGCAGGCTGCCGCCTCAAGCTTCCTGTGGCTTGATGACGTCGCCGGGGCCGAACAACAGCTTGCAGCAGACATGCAAAATATTCTCACGCATCATCAGTATTCCCTTTCCAGATGTTGTTGTTGCAAGTGGGGCAGGAATGGGCTGTGGGATGGGATTCTGGCACTGGATTCTGGGGGAGAGCTGATCCACAGTAAAGGAATCCTCCCAATTCCTTCCGTATTAGCCTTCTTCTCCTCTGTGACCTTTCCGGCTACTTTAGTTCTAAGGTCACGCCCTTGGAGGTCGGCCCCCGCCCCACAAACAAAAGGAAATTAAGAGATCGATTACATTGCGAGGCAAATTTGGCTTGCAGCTGCAGCTTCAGTCCTTCTGCCACTAGAAAACCCATAGAATGCCCAGCCATGCAAATTTTAAAGACATTTTCATATTTGACATCCACACGGGAATGGAAATGGAAATCGAATGGCAACTGAATCGAGATGAATGAATCAGAAACAGTCGCAGTCTCTCAAGTGACCAATATGCAGGCCTGGCGGGCTCCTTCTTGTGGGTTTTTCTGTCGTTGAATGAACGAAGGAACGAAGGAATGAAGTGAAAGAAACACCACGCCACGCCCCGTGCTGAGCTGAGCTGAGCCCAAATCCAATTCCAAATCCTATTCGCAGAACAATGCCTGAATGCCCGAAGGAAACCCAAGAACAACAGCAAGAACTCGTGCAACAATTGCCTGCCTCTGCCTCTCTGCCTTTGCCGCACGATAAACCACTTGAGTAATCAATCAAAGCGATAGGCAGCCCATGGGACCTCGACCTCGTCTTGTAATGAATATTTAAAGATGGAAATTATCGCAATTCAAGGGACAGAAAGGGGGTGGGACTTTGCATAAATGATAGCCGGAACAATAGACCAATATCTCGAGGCTTTGCACACCCTTTGCCCCCGAAGCCCCGAACCACCGAACCGCCGAACCCCCGAAAGTACTAAATATAATGCGATAATTTGAGCACAAAAGTGCCCGATCCGATCCCTTGTTCGGGTCTAATCTCCACTCGGAGGAGAGACCTTATACAAAATATTTCTTGTAATCAATATGGAAATGGAAGTTCCAGAGGAGCGGCAGAGGAGAGGCCTCTCCTCGGCTTGTGAAGATCGCTTCCCTCCGCTGCTCAAGTGAGCAAATGCCACGAATGTGAAACAAAACTAACACAAAAGCCTTCAAGAGTGCTACTATAAGAATACTCTTCGTTGAGAGTATTTCTTACCCTACAGAGTGCCTCCTTCTCTCAGGACATTGTGTGGCATTGTAAGGAGAGCGTGCGATGTCTTATTTGCTGTACAAGACGAGGGTTAAGGATCGATAAAGAGTTCTCTGTGCATTCCCCCTTGTTCCATCTCCCATCCAGAGAGTAGAGAGTGATCCAATCAATGAATTTACGACGATCCCTTTCTGTTAATGGTAGCTCCACAGTGTATTAACAATGTTCATATTTTATGGCTCTAACATGCCAATAAATGCATAAAACTCCTCCTCCCTCCTCCCCACTCCCTCCTACTTCTACAATAAGAATTGATGTGCCCAAGGCCCAGGGCGAACCCTCCCTCAATTGGCGGTAGGTCTACCCCAAAAATTTCAATAAATAAAAAAGGGCTAAGGGAACCCCCGAAACGGAATGAAATGTATGTTTCCATCAGCTTAGACGTGGACTGGTCTCCCGATGAATACTACTCGTATTTGCCACTTAATTGAGATTAATTGAAGTTATGTGCCGCCTGCCACAGCCACTGCCACTGCCTCCTCGTATCTGAACAAACACAAGTTTGCAGCCATTTTGTTTATGACTGCGTTTTATGTGCACACAAAACAGCAACAACAATCGTCGTGGCAGGGAAATATTGTATTATTAATAATTACACAGAGTCGGAGGAGGCACCCCGAAAATAGTTGTAGAACCCAAACTCAAACCCAAACCCCAACCCAAAGCCAAAGCCTGAGGCAGAGATGAAATTTTATTAAATTAAATTGAGTGCGACGGAGTTTCTGTGTCGCTTCAATCGAAGGCCCAGTCCCAGTCCCAATCCCAAAACCCAATGCCAGCCGGAAGCCGGCCATTCAGCAGTCCCAGAATGCGGCGTATCATATAGATACATCGACTGGCTGCATGGCCATGCAAATCAAATGCAAGCCAGCATGCCACACGAGGTGAATGCACTCTGCCATTGCCACTGCCACTGCCACCGCTGCTGCTGCTGCTTCTAATGTTATGGATCTTCGTTTCCATTTCCATCTCCTGGCTGCCCCTCTAATTGGTAATGGAATGGTGTTTATGGTGCACTTTGTGTGTGGTGTTCGTGTTAATAGTTCTCTCTCTCTCGCTCGTGCTCTGGTAAAAGTCAAAACTAGACAATTTAAGCTAATTGACATTCAAATGCAGTTGAATAAACTTTTTGAGGGGCAGACACTCCACTCCACTCCACTCCCAGAAGAGAAGAGAAGCGAAGCAATGGAATGACTAGACCGAGAGATATGTTATTGGGACTCTAAACTGCCGATTAAACATTCAGTGGCTCTTCTGTTAATTCAATGAAGGATTTTAAAGGATCGTTCATCATCTGGCAACCCCATCCCGTCCCAATCCTGGCAAGGGTGCAGTGCAGTGCCGTGCCGTGCCCATCATTTATAAATTGCCGTATCAAATAAAGGCAAACGCTTGAGCAAATCCATTTAATTGCCGCTTCGATGGGTGGTGGACGGGTGCGATGGCTGTGAATCCTTTGATGGCCATGAAATGCTCTCCTGGTCGCCCGCCCCAGCCTCCGCAATCAGAGGCAATCCTCCGGATGTGTTCGCACTCGTGTAAACATGCGTTTGTCATTAGACACACCGGAAATATTGACAGCATTCGACACGCGGCGCACGACCAGGAACAGGGAACAGGAACCAGCTCTTGCCGCTTTTTGTTGCCATTTGATTTTTTAAAATTGCAAAATTTTCAACTTCTCAATTGTTCAGCGAAGTCCCGCGCCCTTGCGCTTGAATAAACAGCATTAGATCTTCGAGGATCGTTCTCCAGTGGATGGACACCGGGACCGCGCTGGGACCCTGCATCGGGTGGAATGCCTTTCGTTGCACCAAAGAGGGGTGTGCGTCGTGTGTCCTTTGTCAAGGGGCGTCTTTGTTTGGTCTAAAGTGTCGTCGCCGTGTCGGATTGTCGTCTGTTTTTTCTCTTTTTTGTATTTTTAAGCTGCAAAGTACCTGAGTTTGGGTTTTTTTTTTATTCCTGGTTTCCTCGAGAGTCGACTAATTACATTTTATTGCGTGGCACGAATCGCTTTGTCGGGATCCGTGTGGCAAGTGTGAATAATCTGCGCTTTTTTACGGTGTGAAAAATATGTCCAACGATCGATCGATCCATTTTCCATTTGCCAGAGCCTTGATTGGGCGAACATCCAAGATCTATTTGGGTCAGGATTCTTGGAAGAGGAATATTACTCCAGAATCGCGTTCCAGAATGCCACACGAAATGCCACGCGCTGTGGAACAATCTGCTGCTGCTGCTGCTGTGGCATGGAATGCGATGCGATGCGGGTATCTCACGGATCTATCGCTGGAGTGTGGGAGGAGGGAGGAGATTACTCTCTAAATATCTCATGTAATCCAATGCCAATGCCATAATTTCCACAAATTTCCACAAACACAAAACAAATGCAAATATAATGCCGAAAAAATGATGGAAACGTGGGAAAAATATGAAAATATTTCTTGGTGGCTTGTAATCCTTCACTCTCGTAAGCAGGCGACCGCACAAAGGATGGAAAGGACCCTAGACAATGGACAATGCAGTGTGAAGATAAATATTTTGTTGATGTAAGCCCATTAACATGAACATTAACGTTAACAAGAGACAGGAGACAAGAGACAAGAGAGTCCGAAAAGAAGAGCCCACACCTGACCTGCGACTAGAACCTGACCCCCGACCTCCGTTTGTTTGGACAGATTAGAGAGAGAGAGAGGGACACAGAGCTACTTAGCGGACGATCACTTGTCTGTGCGGGGATCAGTCCAGGGAATTGAGTTCCCAAATGTCCGAGTGAGTTGAGAGCTATTCCCCCCGCCATTCTGCTGGCAACATTTCAATTTTCCCATTTTCCGGGTCCACTCCACTATCGCGGGCCCACGATCTCCCTCGCCGCAGGACACTCCACTCGCGGCGCTCCTCGGACGTCGTCGGACGGCGGACGGAGGACGGGACCCATGCGGAGTGTGAATCGTATTATCGCTTTGACTCGATCTCTCTTTGGGTCTCTCTCTCTCTCTCTCACTCTCTCTCTTGTGTCGTTTATGTTGTTTTCTGTTTCATTTATCAGTTTGTGGAAATGTCCAACGATCGACCGATGAACAATGAGAAATTATGAGGCTCTTGCTTTAAATCATTTACCATCCATCCTGCTATGATCCGATCCTGCGCTGCTCATTGGCCTTATCGGAATGTAGGGATCTCCATGGCTTTGGGATCAAGGATTTCCCTGTGCCTCTGCCAGTCCGCTCCTCGTTAGTCCTTCGAATGATTCCATATATGCGGTTGTAATTGCGGCCAACAGAGAACTGACTTGTAGCGATTACATGCAGGAAGTTCCAGTTAATTAGCTGCGAATTGTTGTCCGAGATGTGCAATACCCGATAAGCTTCCTCTCCGGGGAGGAAGCTGGTGAAAGCATGCAACTTTCTATTGTCATAAGAGGTGGAGAGGGAGAGGGAGAGAGAGGTGGAAGCCACTTAATAATGCAATGAACTGTAAGAACGATTCACTTATTAAGGAATTGTGAAATATGTAGGTATCTTTTATTACGAAAGCCACAGAAGGACAGTTTCCAATGGAGGTACTAGAGTCGATAGATCTCTGAGCGGCAGTACAAGTCTTCCAGAGTATTCTCTCACAAGTTGTGACCCTTCAATACCATATGCCCATCACTCTGACACTCTCTCTAATCCGTTTTCGAAATTGCTTTAGATCCAGAGCCAGAAACCAGTGCCAGAGCCAGAGCCAGAGCCTGGTTCTATGGGCGTAACCTTCCCACGAAACCGCAGACGCGGCAGATACTCTGCTGCAGAATGATGGGGTAAGTAATCATTGAATTTACGATGACATTTATGCGTAAATTTTGGTTAGATTTTATGGCCACAGCAATCGCGCGTGAAAGTGAAATGGGGAAAAGAGTTCTCTCTGCGGAATGTGGATGTGGCCCCCGCGGGGAGAGTGTCAAATAAATTTGATTGGAAAGTGATCTCGTAATTGAAACGGAAGAACAGTTAATTATCGGGCATCATTAAGGGGCCACACCCACCGCATAGGCCAAGGCCAGGTAGAGCCCTCCCTCTCCCGCTCGCTCTCAGATCTCATACGAGTATTTATGCAACGTCATGACTTTCTTCCGTGTCAACGCCCCTCGGGCGCACCCTTTTGGCATCGTATCGGCAAGGATGTAATCCTTTTCGGTGCTGCTGCCGCTATCGCGTGCTACGAGGCGTCCGATCTCCTCGGGGATCTCCTTGCAAGAAAGAGTGCCGCATCGCACTGCGGGATGGCTGCTCATTCTTCTCTCGTTGTCGTTCGTGTCATAATTGCATGGCTGTCGGCTGTCGGAAGTGTGAAAATTACGGAGTTTCCTTAGTGACGGAGTTACCCTTCCGGGGACAGTCGCTTAATGATTGTGTTTGTTTGCTTTATCTTTGACTCGAGATCGTAGCTGAAGGAATTTGTGCGCTGCCAGCCAACTCCTTCCTTGCTTCCTTTAAGGCTTCATTCACACTCGTATCCCGGGAGTCCTAGTCCTAGGGGTGGCTTGTCGAGTCCTTTCGGTTTTTTGCGTGCTAAATTGTGTGTTTTACGATCTTCCACCGATCTCCTCTTGGAGATAGCGTCCCCATACGGTGATTGCTGTTTCTGTTTCGGTTTTTCCTTTTCTTTTCTTTTTTTGTGTGCGTTTTTTATGCTTGTATTTTGCAAGCGTTTAATTTTGTACCGTTATCGTTGGTTGGAGATCGTGAGAAGTAGTGCCGTTAGTCGCGAGGACTACCGAGGACTCCAGAACTCCATTTTGGTGTGCCTCCAATTCTCCAACTCTCATTTCTCTCCCTCTCTCTATTGCCCCAAACCTCTGGCTGTGGCATCTGTCATCCTGGCATCCTGCCATCCATTGTGTAGCCAGGTGCACGGCCCCCTACCCTCCCCTCCCTGCCCCATCCAACAATACAAATAGCTGCCCTCCCCCCTCTACACCCCGCCAGTCATTGTTGAACTCTTTTTTATTTTTCTGTTTTGTGTTTTTGTTGAACTGAAACTTAATTAGCTTTGACTCTGGCTTTGGCTTCGGCCTGGAGAATGGGGAGCAGTGGGGGGCAGTGGGGACTCGGTATCGTGAAATTATCCAGTGGAGCGCACGCTTCCAGGGAACGAGCGCGTGCTGCTGCACTCCGTGCGGATGGGGCACACCACACCACACCACACCGCAGGTGCGAGAGCAGGCCAGAACCAATCCCCTGCTCCAGCTCCAGCTACAGCCTCAGCTCCATTCTCCATCGCCAGCTGCTTGCTGGCTACCGTCGCCCAATCAAAGGCACTCCGAGTACCCACATAATCATTCCAGTTTTCCGCGAGTGTGTGTATCCATGTGTCCCCGTGCATGTGTGTGTCGGATAATTGCGGATAGAAATGGATAAACGACTGACGAGCGCCGACTGGAAGGGGCAGCCAATGGCAGCACACGAGCTGCACAGAAGAGAAGCCAAAACAAGAAACCACCCTGCTGCCTGCTGCCTGGTGCCTGCTACATGCTGCATGCAACCCGAGCCCTCGCTGCTTCGGCCAAAGGGAACTTAACTCCAGTGCGCGGACCAGGTTCCAGCAGTCAATCTTGCGCAGTCGTTGCGAACGGACGTCCACGTCGCGCCGCTCTACAGAAAAGAGAACCGCAGAGAAGTGAAGAGAAGGAGAGATTCGATTCGATTCGATTCGTGATCGCTGAGACGCGAATAAAAGTGAAGAATAAATAGAAAAAGTGAAAGAAAATAAAGAACTTAAAAACACAGCAAAATGGTGTTGAACGGAATGACCATTCCTATGTCCATGCCCGTGCCCGTGCCAGTGCCAGTGCCCAGTCCTCCGGCCACCAAATCCCGTGTCCAGATCGACTGGGACATCAATGACTCAAAGATGCCGACGGTAGCGGAGTTTGACGAGTTCAACGACTGGGCGAATGGCCACTGTCGCCTCATCTACGGCCACCAGAGCGACGAGGCCCGGAAGCACGCCAGCGGCTGGGCCATGCGCAACACCAACAACCACAACGTGAACATCCTGAAGAAGAGCTGCCTCGGGGTGCTCCTCTGCAGCGCCAAGTGCAAGCTCCCCAACGGCGCCAGCGTCCACCTGCGGCCCGCCATCTGCGACAAGGCGCGCCGCAAGCAGCAGGGCAAACAGTGCCCCAATAGGTAAGTCGTGGATCGGAGAATCCCACCCCACTGTGAATCCCAGTCGCTAACTGCTTCGTCTTTTTTTTTGGGCTGTGCAGAAACTGCAACGGACGGCTGGAGATCCAGGCCTGCCGCGGCCACTGCGGCTACCCCGTCACGCACTTCTGGCGGCGGGACGGCAACGGGATATACTTCCAGGCGAAGGGCACCCACGACCATCCGCGGCCCGAGGCCAAGGGCTCCACGGAGGCGCGCCGCCTGCTCGCCGGCGGCAGACGCGTCCGCAGCCTGGCCGTGATGCTGGCCCGGGATGCGGCCCTCAGCGACAAGCTCTGCAGCCTGAGGCCCAGCAAGCGACAGGCCAAGACACAGCTCCTCCAGGAGACAGCCAGCAAGCGGAAGAGGATGGAGGTGCCGCAGGCGCCCAGTCAGGAGCTCCAGGGAGCCACAGCCACCACCGCCGCCGCCTATCTGTCCACATCCACTCCCATTCCCAGCTTGAAGTTCGACCAGCAGAGCGGCTATCCGGCGGGCAATGGCAGCCAGTGGTGTGGAGGGGATCTGTACACCACCTACGCAGGAAAGCAGGAGGCCGGAGCAGGCGCCTACGACAATGGGATGTACAACGGCTACAGCATGCTGCACTCCCCGCTCTCCTCGCACAGCTCCACCGGCAGCTACTACCAGGAGAACCTCCAGCAGCACCAGCACCAGCATCAGCAGCAGCATCAAGTGCAGTTGCAGCTTCCCTCCGTCCAGGAGACGATGAATGTCAACTACGAGCCCGCGATGCCCGCCAGCTATCCGTGTGGCATGCCCCTGTACGAGAGCTGCGACGACACCTCCAGCCTCACGAGCAGCAGCGGCTACAGCTCCGAGGACTACAGCTACTTGAATGGGTATAATCTGCCTGGATCGGGATCGGGACTGGGATCTGGATCCCTGGATGTCAGCGGAGGAGCAGTCAGCGGCCACAATCCCTCCGCCCAGGATAGCTTCTACACGACCAGCTCCGAGATCTTCAGTGTCTTCGAGTCGACGCTGAACGATGCGGGAGTGTTCTACGACGAGGCAGCCGCCTACCAGCAGACGAGCTACCACCAGCAGCAACAACAGCAGCAGCAGCACCAGCAGCAGGACGCAGCAGCGGACTACTACTACAGCAACACGGGAGTGGACAACGTGTGGAACATCCAGATGGACGCCGCGAGTGCGTACCATCCGAGCACAGCAGGAGCGGGAGCAGCGCCAACGGATCCCATCTATTGCTAGGGGATCCATGGATACATCTCCCACTGGATCACCCACCCCCCACCCACTCAAGTGTTGTCCTTGTTCTAGTCTGTAATTGATTTCTATCCACCATTCGGTTCTGTTTGTTGGTTCTATTATTATTATTCTATGAAGATTGAATGTTTTCTTAGTCACTTAGTCACTTGTTTCCTCCCCTCCCCCCAGAGCTACTCCAAAGTTTAGGCCTAAGTATCTGCATCTCTAAGTATCTGCATTCCGTGCACAAGTATCTCGTAGATATACCCGTAAATACTATCGTAGGACATTAAGGATTATCCAGCGACATCGCCCACCTATTTATTGTATTTTTACTCTCGTATGAGCCTTTGCGTAGTAATAAAACAATTTTTGAGGAAACCCCATCGATCAACTGACTGGCTAGGTTGAAGAAAAGTTAAACGGAGAATTTATTGGTATTTTGCGGTTATCCGTACTATTCTAGAACATCATTCTGTGTCGGTTCGGCTGGCCCTGCTATTGGTGTGTGATCGGCGGCACCTCCGCGAACCTGTGGATGTTCGCAAAGAGGAAGCTGTAATATGTATATTGGTTGCGGAATACGCGCTCTATCGACTGGTTGAAGCGGACGGTAGCCCGCAGACTCAGTGTCACGAAAGAGACGAATCTGATCCGCCTGTATTCATCTTGCGGAATTCCAGCCGCTTCGTCGGGATCCAACGCCTCTGGCGGAACATCCACATCGACAAGATCAACGCTGACGACCAAGCGCTCTCCGTCGCCAGCGGACCCAATGTCTATTGGCCTCTGCCTCATGGCTTCAGAGACCGAGGACAGGAGGAATCCCAGCAGACTTTGGTACGTCAGAGGATTCCGAAAGGGGAACAGTGGAAGCCTCGACGCAAACTCCTCCATTGAGAGACCTCGAGGAGCTCTGCGCAACTCCTCAATCACGTAGCTGATGACGTCGCGCAGATCTTGCAGGATCTCGCGGAGAACGGCCTGCATTGTCCTGTGGCTGTCCCTGGCCGCGCGGCAGACATCGTGGACGAACCTCTTGAGGTGTGCCCTCTTGCGGCCTTCTCTTTCGCGGGCCGCCTTAAAGGTCGAAGCTTCGCGCTGGATTCGTGCCTGCTCCTGTAGCCAAATGACTGAACTATGTAGTCCTGCACGCCTGGGGGGGCGTCGGACATCATCGGAATCCAACGACATGGCGGAGTCCTCGAGAAGACCACTTTCCGGTGCATAGTTCTGTAATGTTCGTTAATGCATTTGATGTTTTTTGTGCAAACTATAGTTTTGTAACAGAATGATGTTCTCCGAATGTAACGAAGACAGACGATGGATTTCAAGGCTTACTTTCTGGGTTAAAAACTCACTGAGAATGATCAAAAATCGTAGATCAGAATGTTGTGGAGAGAAAGAGGCAGATATATCGACAGATAACTCTTTGTTTGGGTTCCCCCTCTGCCACTTCCTTTGCATCTGAAGAGTGCTAATATTTGCATGTAATCGCATCTAATCCCAAACTGAAGAGAGAGGAGAGATCTCCATTAGTGTGCAGAAACAACAATCAGCATTAACAAATTGGCACCGTATCCGTATCCTCGTATCCGCGAATCCTGCATTCGAAATGAGTTTGCGAATCCTTTTGCGAGTGAAACCTCAACCCTGGCAAAAGTCGGAATTTGGCAATGGGTTCATTCAGTCAGTCATTCCTTCATTCACGCGCATATTGAATTACACCCGACGGACAATGGGATCAGCGTCAATAAATTTGCATAATACTCATCGCTCGTACCTTTGCGCCCTTCCCCTGCACCCAATCCCCCTCCCCCCCTCTGCAGGATAACACGAAATGTGCAACGGCAGAGTCAGAGTCAGCGACGACGACGACGACGACGACGACGACTCCCCGACTTCATTAGCATTCAGGGCTAATCAAACACTCCACGGAGGAGGAGGCGGAGAAAGGAGAGCACACGGAGGCTGCCTCGACAGGAAGCACACGCTCTCTGTGTCTCTCCTGATTTATGGCTGGAAATTACCATAAATGAAATCAAAACATTTTAAATGTTTTCATTTGGCAAAGGGCCTCGTCGGAGGGTTCATTACGCTATCCATACGCTTCATATGCAAATACAATTTGAAACAAAGTCATTCCACTCGATGCTGCTCGGTATCTGTGAGTGCGAGTGCGAGTGTGCGAATATCCTTGAAGGTCGCACGCGTCCGCCAGTCTGCCAGTGGCAGCGACAGTAGCTGTGGCACACGCTTTTTCCCAAACATGACAGCCACGAGTAATGGGCGTTTTGTTTATGGTCGCTCTCAAACCCCCATTAGGGTTGAGCTCTCGAGAGCACAACCCCTTCCCCTACCCTCTTCAATCGCCTGGCAATCGACCTTTTTTTATAATTTTAATTATTTATAATCGGTTTAAAAAAAAAAGAAACAAAATCATAGAATAGAAATCTAAATAATGGAGTGGCGCTTGACAGGAGCTCAGCCTTTTGTCGCGAGTCGCGACCCGTGACCCTTGATTGCTGGTGGAAAATGGCAAATCGGGAAATTGGAAATTCAATTTTAAATATACATAATTTTATTCGAATGTTTTAACCTCTGATTGAAGGGGAGGCAAGAGTAGGCAGAATTTGTAGTATATTGGTTCAATGAACGTTCTTTATCCGCTGGCATTGGCTCACTCCCGCTGATTGATAGTTTGAGGTCTTCGGAGGTCCTTCAGTTAGTCAATCGGTCCTTCAGTCCGTCAATCGCTTTGCTACCAGCATTGCAATTGAAATTGAAATCGAATGACAGTTGATCTTCAAGAGTGTGACTTTTCGGGTGACTCTTCACACTTCATCGGTAGATTAGATCAGAGGATCTGCAGGAGCCGCAGCTGCAGTTGTGGGGAAAAACGATTAACTATTTATTTTATACGAGCAATATGTGCCACATAAAACGTCAACGTCAAAGGCCTTGCCCCGAGTGTTGCCACAATAAAGCGTACCCGACAATGTGGCAAAATCTCATCCGAACCTATTTAGGAGTGTCCACTTCAAAGGACACGTCACACAAAGGGAGCGAGCGCTCACCCAACGCCTCTCATCGCAACAAATGAGGCGCGTTTAATGCGGCTTCAATGACTCCTTGGCCTGGCCTGGCCCTCGCCTCCGAGTAAACGACCTGAAAAATGCGAGCGACATGCGTGTCCCGCAAACACAGCAAATTGTGCGGTCGGTCGGTCTGATCTGTCTGTCTGTTGATTGCACTTTCGGTGTAATCGTCGTTGGGGTGGGTCACCGTGAAAAATGTCCCTGCAAACAATGAGAGCAGCAGCAGCAGCAGCAAGGATATCAACTGAAAGCATTCAAGTAGGATCTTCTTAGATAAGTGGAGACCATGCGAGGAGGGATCGCAATCTATTGCTCTCCATAACCATAAGCTGAATGCTGTGAAAAACTAATAATAAATAATTATAAAATAAACAAGTGTCATACAAGACAGCTTTGATAAAGCCATAGCAGCCACCTATTGTCATAGGTGTCGTTTACAAACTACATACATTTCAGCTTTTGTTCAATGACAAATTTATATGTTACATGGCGACGATCTTTTGTCAGAGTGTCATTCGATAGTTTTCAAACTTAGCGCGGGTTCGGCCTTCAAGCCATTCCATACTCACTTACGTTACCACTGTATTTTCTTGACCATTTTGGCTTAAACACAGCTAATCTTGTAGAAAATGTATTCTATATATTTGTTCTATATAGCTAGTAATATTCGACGGAATATCAAAAACGAGGAATATGTAAAAAAGAACGTGAATTTGTCGGTATATTTACGGTATATTTTTCCAATTAGACGATATATTTTGGTATGTTTGTGAATGTCGGACGGTATATTTCAACGATAATCCGCGATAGCCGCGGTCACAGCTGTCAAACCACCGATAGTGGCGCCTTTTCGACTATATGCAACAAGTTTGTTAAATAAGTTTTCTAAATAACGGGGCAAGTGTAAAGTGCAGTGCCACCTCGAAATAATTAAGCATAAAGTGAAGCAATCGAGAGAAAGAGCTCCGATCCTAGTAATATACGAGAAGAGGTTGTGCAATGTCGGCAACGAGAATCCTGAGTGCCGTTGGCCAAATTTCGAGGCAGCAATTGTTGCAGAATAGATGCAGCAGAGGTAGGCAATACCGTTTCCAGATCGAATGAATGTGTAATAATGCAAGAAGTGGAGCCCCAATTGGAGATAAACACACCCACCAGGACGGGAGGGGAGAGGAGAGATCTGCTGCCCCGCAGATGAGCCGCATAACTGGACTTTGAACTTTGTACTCGGTCTCCCTTGACGTAGCTGATTTTGCGTGTGTGTGTATCTGTCTGCTTGTTGCGGGGGCCTCTTATGAGAGCTGTGTGACGATAATCTGCCAACAGCGATTTGATTCTCTGCCCTGTTCACCCCTTTGCAGCCCTCCCCGCCGCGTCCCAACTCCAGCGCCTCCGTCTAATGTCCACAAATCCCGCTCCGGCTGTAGCCACGGCGGGGGCCAACAAGCATCTGCACACGAAGGTGGTCAATGGAGTGCTGGTCATCAGGTTCGACTCCCCCAACGTGAAGGTCAACTCCCTGGGCAGCGAAGTAAGCGACGAATTCGAGCGTGTGATCAAGGACCTCGAGACGAATCCTGCTGTCAACTCGGCCGTCCTCATCTCCGGCAAACCGGGATGCTTTGTGGCTGGCGCTGATATTGGGATGCTCGAAGCCTGCCAGACGGCGGAGGAGGCGACACTCATCTCGCACGGCGCCCAGCTGATGTTCGACCGCATGGAACGCAGCCGCAAGCCAATCGTGGCCGCCATCAACGGTGTGTGCCTGGGCGGAGGTCTGGAGCTAGCCCTCGCCTGCCACTACCGCATCGCCACAAAGGACAGCAAGACCAAGCTGGGACTGCCCGAGGTGATGCTGGGTCTCCTGCCCGGCGGCGGCGGCACTGTGCGTCTGCCCAAGCTCACGTCGGTGCCCACTGCCCTGGACATGGAGCTGACGGGCAAGCAGGTGCGCGCCGACCGGGCCAAGCGCCTGGGCATCGTCGATTTGCTGGTGGATCCCCTTGGTCCTGGCCTGCAGCCCGCCGAACAGAACACCATGGAATACCTGGAGAAGACTGCTGTGGAGGTGGCCAAGGATTTGGCCAGCGGTAAACTTCGCGTAAGATATGCCCGGCCTTATCCAGTCGAAATTCATTATATGTATAATCGAATCCGCGTGTAGGTGAATCGCGAGAAGACTGGTCTGGTCAACAAACTGCAATCCCTGGTCATGGATACGGAGTTTGTGAAGAACAAGATCTTCGACACTGCCCGGAAGCAGGTGATGAGAGCCTCAAACGGTCTCTATCCCGCTCCCCTGAAGGTGAAACACATCTTCCTAATCTTCCTATTTCGCATGGCTAACTGTTGATTCATCCGCTTCATTAGATCCTCGATGTGATTCGTGCCGGCGTGGACAAGGGTTCCGATGCAGGCTACGAAGCGGAGCGCAAGGGCTTCGGCGAGCTCTCGGCCACACCGGAGTCCAAAGGTCTCATCTCCCTCTTCCGCGGCCAGACCGAGTGCAAGAAGAACCGCTTTGGCAAGCCAGAGCGTCAGGCTAAGACTGTCGGCGTGCTGGGAGCTGGACTAATGGGCGCTGGCATTGTACAGGTGTCCGTCGACAAGGGCTACCAGGTGGTGATGAAGGATGCCACCGATGCAGGCCTGGCACGCGGCATTGGCCAAGTGCAGAAAGGCCTGGAGACGGCCGTAAAGCGGAAGCGCATCTCTGCCCTGGATCGTGACCAGACGCTGGCCAATCTGCGTCCCACCCTCGACTACAACGAGTTTAAGAACGCCGACATCGTGATCGAGGCCGTCTTCGAGGACATCAACATCAAGCACCGTGTGATCAAGGAGCTGGAGGCCGTCGTGCCCGCCCACTGCGTGATCGCGACCAACACCAGCGCCATTCCCATCACCAAGATTGCCGCCGGCAGCTCCAGGCCCGAGAAGGTTGTGGGCATGCACTATTTCTCGCCCGTTGACAAGATGCAGCTGCTTGAGATCATCACGCACCCGGGCACCTCCAAGGACACCGTGGCCCAGGCCGTGGCCGTTGGCCTCAAGCAGGGCAAGGTTGTCATCACCGTGGGCGACGGTCCCGGCTTCTACACCACCCGCATCCTCGCCACCATGCTGTCGGAGGCCATAAGGTTAGTCTGCCGTGTGATTCCTTGAGACAACTCTCACGTCCCGTTTTCAGACTTCTGCAGGAGGGGGTGGACCCCAAGGATCTGGACCAGTACACGAAGAAGTTCGGATTCCCGGTGGGCGCTGCCACGTTGGCCGACGAGGTCGGCATCGATGTGGGCTCCCACATTGCCGTGGATCTGGCCAAGGCCTTCGGCGATCGCATTTCTGGCGGCAATCTGGAGGTGATGTCAGACCTGGTGCTGGCCGGCTTCCTGGGCCGCAAATCGGGCAAGGGCATCTTCCTGTACGGTGACCAGCGGAAGGGCAGCCGTCCAGTGAACAACGATGCTCTGGAGATAATCAAGCAGAAGTATACGCTGGTCTCGAAGGGCGCCAACACCCCCGAGGATCTGACCCTGCGCATGGTCTCACGCTTCATCAACGAGGCTGTGCTCTGCCTGGAGGAGAAGATCCTTGACAGTCCGCTGGAGGGCGATGTGGGCGCTGTCTTTGGCCTGGGCTTCCCCCCATTCTCCGGCGGTCCCTTCCGCTGGGTGGACCAGTACGGAGCCGGCAAGCTGGTCGGCAAGATGCAGTCGTACGCCGACCTGTACGGAGCCCCCTTCAAGCCCGCCCAAACCCTGCTCGACATGGCCAAGGATACTTCAAAGAAGTTCTACCCAAAGACTGGTTCCTCAAAGTTGTAAACGATCCCCGACCCAGCCCCCAGCCCCAGGCCCACGAAGGCCAACGAAAATTAGATTAGGTTTTAGCTAACATTGGGAGCCACCGCCACCAAAAAGGAGGATGGCGGGCTTCTTTTTGCATTTCCCTACGCAAGGAACTTCTTGTACGAGTAGCATGTGGACTCTCAGTCCCAGTCGCCCCGAGGGCATGGCCATTGTTGAAGTTTCAATTAAAGATTAATATCGTGTACTTTTTTCATACTCACATTTGACGATTTATTTGACACAGCAGTGGTTACTTTATCTCTGACTCAACACGGAACACTTTGTACATCGATGCTAGAACTCTATATATATGTATATGCTGTACTATGCGACGACGTGTTCTTGCCGCATATACACACGCTATATACAGAGGCTATACAGGTGGGGCACGGCTTCCCCTTCTTAGAACTACATATATCCTATATCCTAATCCTTACTCATTGAGCGCACACAACACATGGACAGTGAGCGGACTGGAGCGGTCGTCTCTTCCTCCACTCCAGTCCAATTATTAGCTACTAACTAAACAAATTGGCCTACATCTAGTTAGTGACTAGTGACGTTCTACTTGCGCCAGTCCCGCCCTGAGCTCCGGCGCTGCTGCCTGCCCGCCGTGCTGTTTAGGGATCCCCCGCCGTTAGTGCTGCTCCCGCCACTGCCGTTGACCACGCATCCTCCTCCGTTGTAGCGCTCCGGTCCGGGATAGCGAGCCACGACATCGTCGATGAGCTCCAGGATCCCGATCTTGAATTTGCGACGCTGCTGCGGCGTCAGTGCCGCAATGTCCGGCAGAATGCTGCGGAAGAACTCCATGTCTGCCAGCTCCGCGACGCTCAGTCCCCCATAGAAATTTGCCCCGCCGTTCGGCATCGTGCTGGTGGCCTCGCACTCCGTCTTGATCCGCTTGGCGCTGCCCGGCTCGAACTGGTGCTGGTGCTGGTGGCTGTGGTGTTGGTGGTGGTGGCCGTCCATCGGATGTGGCAGCGAGTGCGGGTGGTAGTGCAGCGGTGGCGGCGTGCCGCGACCTCCATCGTTGTAAATCAAGTTTGGGCCCGACTCCGCCAGCTGCACGTCCGGAATGAAATTCTGCATGCTGTCAGCACTAGCCGTATCGCTCCGGGCGGGCGAACTTCCGCGCGGTTGATGATGACTCGTGGGCGTGGCTGGGGCACCCCGCTGCAGGTTAAGGGTGCTGGCAACGGCGGGGTCGAAGGCGTCGATGGTCTCCTCATCGTCGTTCTCCGACATCGAGTGCTTCAGCTCCATGACCTCTCCATTGTTGTTGTTGTTATTATTGCTGGCGGTCGAGCAGTACATGTGCTCCTCGTGGGGATGCGTCAGGGGCAGCGTATGATGGGGACGCTGCGGCTGTTGCTGGTTCAGGTGGCTCAGGTGCTGCTGCTGGGAGAGATGGAAGAGCGTGGCCAGGCTGCTGTTGCCGTCCAACGTATTGCGCGTAGACTTGAGGAAGGGCAGCAGGAAGGCCATATGCTCTGTAAGGTAGTAGGGCTTGTGCTGTGGCTCCGATCCGCTCTGCTGTTTGATGTAGCGCGAGAGGCAGGCGCGCAGATTGCGCCACCGCTCCTTGCAGTGAATGACTGGCGGAGGGAGAGGGGAGTGTTTCCAATTAGTTTCCATAGAGCTCGGATGCTTTTTTGCTAGCCACTCACCACTTTCACGGGTTTCCTTCGAGATCAGCACCCACGACTTTTCCTGGTTGTCCCTAGAATATCAGAGGATCGTTACAGTGTTTTCCACAGTGGGATATGGGAGATCTCCACCTCCTCCTCTCACTCACCTGTTGCGGTACTCGGGCACCTTCTTGTCGTAGAGGCACTTGTGGGTGCGCACCAGATTGACGAACCTTATGTTAAAGTCCTCGTCCGCCTGCATGACGCGATTCGTGGATCCAATGTTCGCTGGACTATTACCGTTGTGGCTGCTGTAGACAGAGGCTCCTTCCTGTGCCCTCTCCTCGCTGTCGTTGTGGTTGCTGCTGTTGTTGTTATTGTTGGTGCTGCTGCTGCTGCGCGTTGTGGTTGTCATATTCGATGTTCTGGTGGGATACTATCCTGTGCAGGAAAGATGTAAAATGGGAAAAGATATTAGACATCTGGGAAGACATCCTATAAGACATATATATTCGCAGACGGAATGTACGTTAAGCCAATGGCAAACAAACAACCGAAGGCAAACAAAGAGAGAGAATTCTCGTCTTTTTGCCTCGTTCCGTTTCGTGTCGTTTCGATTCGTTTTGTTCGTGTCATATGTTTGTGTTGTTTTCGTCTCTCCTGCTGCTGCTGGGCGCTGCCTCTCCCTCACCCTCATCTGCTCTGTGGCTGCTGTCTCAGCAGCTTTCAAGCGATAGAGCTTTCTGCTGCTACCCTCTCAGAGAGCATTACAGTACCATATGCCATAAGTTTCCCTGAGCAGGCCATGTCCAGCCGTCTCTCCGTGTCTAACACTCTACTCATGTGAATAATAGGGGAAGGGTATAAAATGCGTCGTCAACCAACGCTAGCCCTTCTTTCTTGTCATACGTACATACACTCCCCGACACTTGAATACGACACACTAAAATGTACACTTTAGGCACCAATATTTGAATTTGAATTTTCCTCAAATCTCGATTCAATTTAGCATAAATTAAAAATAATAGCAATATTCAATAAAGTAGATTGAGGAAAAAAATTGAATTGACAACTCAAATTTCCGTTCTCAAAAAATGCGACACTTGAATACGACATTCACATTGCAAAATTTATTATTTTAGATGTGGTCGCGACCGGACATCGAATAAATTCTCAAAAATCATTTTAGTGTACATTTTAGTGTGTCATATTCAAGTGTCGGGGAGTGTATGTATGAGTAAGTATTTTTTTGTGAAACTTAATAAAACATTATGGTTGGTGTTGCTTTTGTTGTTGTTGTTTTAGTAGTTGCTAGTATTTTCAGTACAGTTTTGTTTTTGCATGCTGGAAAACAGCGAGAGAGAACAACAACGATGACGGCGCTGGCAACATTGTTTACTCTTCATATGAATATTATTATTCTTCTTGTTATTGCTTCTCCAAGTTCTTTCCGCTTTGCCAGCTCTGTCGACTTGAAAGCTTTGCCAGTTTCACTGATAAGAGCAGCAGCAGGAGCAGCAGAAGAAGAAACAACAACAACAGCAAACACATTTTCTGTTGTAATGCCGTAAAGAAAAAACATGTTAAGCAAATGCTGCACCCAGCTGTGTGCGAATACGATTCCCATTTGCTTGGCCGTATCGTTATTCGCAATGCACTCAGAAAGTGATTCGCAGAGAGCGACTACCTGTTTCGATTCTAATCAAAGCCCGCTCATTCGGCTGAGGTTTTAAGCGCCTCTCTCTCTCACTCTCTGTCTCTCTTTCTCGCTCTCCCCCGCTCTGAGTGATTGACTAACCGTTTTCCCGCCACTTTCAGCACCTTGCGGCGCCTAAGCGCGACCACCAGTTTAGTCCAGAAACAACGTGCGCACAATGGGATGATTTGGCTATGGAGCTGATTAAAATGAAAGTGATGAGAGCAGTACAGTGGGGTGAAAAGCAAACGTTCTCTCTGCGCTGAATCAGAGGTAAGTGTTGCCATATGAAACACTTTCATTCCACTGTGCGATTGGTGTGGGGTATTGTTGTGTTGTTTTGCCGTCATAATTATTATCAACGAACATCATCATCATCATTGCGAACGTTGCGCGCGTGTTTGGTTCTACTTGTTGTTCTTGTCGTTGCTTGAAATGTTATGTGTTTAACCAGCGAGGTGATAGAATGTCGGAGGGGGGTGGGGAATGGCTGGAGGATTGGGGGGAGAGCGTAAACAGCAGAAAACTAACAGTGCTTTAGCAATATTTATTGTACTATTACGTATATTTAACATAAACATACATGTGCACGAGCATTTGTGTGTGTGTGTGTGTTTGTAAACTCTGAGAAATGTTTATATATTAACAACAAAAACAAAAGTAGAAGCAGCGGGAAGCGGAGAGCCCAGGCAGTGCCTCGAAAAAGTACAGCTACAGCTATAGAACGTACAAAAAACAAGAAGAAGACCGAAACAGAAATCGAAATGCAAACAACAACAGCGGAATAATATCGCACACACAAAAAATACATATTTCTAAAGCTAACAAAACTTGCAGAAATCCCCGGCGGTCCCCTTCACAGCTCTTCTCCATCTCGCGCTCGCTCTCTCTCTCGCTCTTTCTTGGCTCCATGGCCCAGTGACAGCAACAGCAAGCAATAACTTTTGTTAGATAGAACAACAGCAACAACAAGAGCAGCAGTAGCAGCACTAGCAGAGGGAGCAACAAAAGAAACACACAGACACATACATATATACGAAGCCACACACACACACACACGTAGATATAGACAGGGAGCAGCAACAATATGGCTTATCGGGGGAATGATGCTCATTGAAACAGTTTCTTGGAGAAGAAGGAGATTTCACTTGGATGTTACTAACGTTTGTTATACCTTTTGGTGTTGTTGTCTCTTTGCAGAGACTTGATGTGCAGAACGTTTTCCAAAATCAGTTTTCGAATGGCGCCAGACACAAGAAAAAACGGCGCCAAAAACTATTTTGTTGCTCCTCCCGCGAATGCGAATGCGACCGGACCGCAAAAACAACAGCGGGAACGGGAACGGGAACGGATTCAAGTCAATTCGACTGACGTAACGTACAAAAATGTTGAGTTTGAAATTTGTGCGCTCGGGCGCGCTGCTCCACGGCGGCAACGGTGGCAGTAGTCGGTTGTGTCGATGTCGTATGTTTCACGTCCAAAAGCGACTAAAACACACAGATACGCGAGCGGCGGGGCCATGGGCGAAAAGTATCTATCGGCAACGTAGAACACACAGAGGCAACAACAAAACCAACGTCCAACGAGCGGCGAGCAAACAGAGAACAACAACGCACAAAAACCCTGCTCTCTGTCGCACACACACTGCCACACGAACCAACACACACATACACGAACACAACTGCACACGCAGAGGAGCAGGCAACTGTTTTTATTGTTGCTTTTGTTGCTGACGAACAACAAATAATACAAACAATGCACACAGACGCACACAAAAACAGTGAGAGAGGCCCACACACACACACACACTCAGACCAAGGCAGAGAAACGGCAACTGCGCGATACAAAATGCAAAGAAACAGTGAGACAGCAAGGCAGCAAGGCAGCGCGGCAGGAGAGCAACAGGGTGAGCGGAGGAGAGGAGGTGAAAAACAGCAAAGACTAACAAAAATTGTTGCACAGTGGAACAGCGACGTCGTGTCGGAATGGACAAAGAGAGGGATCTCGGAGAGGATTTGATCCGCACATTGTTTCCGGTGAGTTTACTGTATTTCAATCACCCCTTAATCCCTGTCAGAATTGTGGGATTTTTAGCCATTTACCTGCGAACCAGGCCCAGTGTGCGTGCACCTTGTTTTCTCTCTCTAACTCTCAGCGAACATTGAAACCGAAACAGCGACAGTTGCTTACTCAGGCACAGACACAGACAGAGATACAGCTGCTGCTGCTGCTGCTGCTCGCTCTCAGAATCAACAATAAAAGCTAGCAAACAAAAACCATTTGTTGTTGCACAAAAAGCTCCTATTCCTTTGCTGTTCTCTCTCGCACGTTTCTGCCTCTCTCTCGCAAGTTTTCTAGCCAATTGTTGTTTACATTTGAAATTGTGGAAATTTGAACATTGGAAAGCGTTGCCGCCAGATGGCGACTGTAACTTCCGGCTCAGCGGCTTCTCAGGGAATTAATCTCGATGAAGATCGGTCGACCTTATATTGATTAGAACAAAGATATCTATTTTGATATCTAGAAAAGATTAATAATCTGAAAGAGGTGCGTTTACTTTACCTCCAGAGTAAACTGTATCACAAATCGTTTCGATTATTTATACTACCATCTTTAGGAATTGAATCAAAGAAAGCTCTGGGAAAGCTCAGGGCACACCACACTCACACGAGTAGGTCACTCTGCCACCAACCCTGCAGCTGGGGGTATGGGGTGGGCATTCCGGGCACTTTAATGATTTGTTTACAACTTTGTTGCCCTGCAATTTACCGCAAGCACACGGCTCCGCTCTGCCTGGCAGCCCTCTCTCTCTCTCTTCTCTCTCTCGTCCCTTTTCCAAGGGGAGCTTTCGGGGGCTGGCTGTGTCATGCGTTGCGCTCAAAAATTCGATAAAAAGGAGGCTCGTTTCTGTTTTGGCCTACATGCCACATGCCACACAGCGCGTCCAGCCCCGAATCGGAGTCCGAACCCAAAGCCGAACCACAGCCGATGGAAACTTGGTCAACAGCGGAGAGCTTCCAACTGCAGTAGCGCTGCGCTGCCACATTGCCACATTGCCACACTGCCATATTGGCACAAGCTTGCCTCAGTCGCCAGTTGCCACAGGACAGTCGAGACGAGTTGTTGTTTATCCTTGAAGGCAGCCGCCCGTGCACCGTACAGCTAGAGGCTTGTTTTGGTTACCGTAGTGGTTACCGTAGTGTTGGTGAACGAGTCCTCCTCGTCGTGCGCGCGTGTGTGTGCCCTCTGTCCTGTGTCCTATGCCCTGTGTGTGCGCTTAAAAATATTTGCCATGAATTATTTACCCAAAACGGGGCCTACAAACTTTTAAATGGAACACAGGATCGTACTCGTACTCGTGCGAAAAGTGGAGTTGAATAAGCAAAACGAAACTCTGACGCGGACGCGGACTCGGACCCGGAGCTAGGGGACTGGGGCAGCTTGCAGTGCAGGAATCAAGGATGCCAGAGGAGGATGCAGACTCCGTTGGATGCATTTTCTGAAGCGCAGTAGGTGCCTCTCTTTCTCTTTCTTTGTTGTTCTTCGTCGCTCTCTCTTTCTCTGTTTTCAGCAACCCTCCTTCTCTCTCTCTCTCTCTCTCTGAGTGGCTCTCTCTCTCTCTGTCTCTCTATGTTAGCGTGTGTAGAGTTTCGATTTCGTTAGAAAATCGAAACAAAAACTGGCAAGGGCTCGAGGATTGTGGGTGTCGGTGCTGCGGCTACCTGTAGATGCCACTCACACACACACACACGTACACGATACACTCAAACAAAACACTCACACACGCACACAATTGTATCCTCCTGCCAGTTCATGTGAGTGGGGAGTCCTTGAACACGGTTTATTGTCGTTTCACCATTCGCTGCTCCCGTATCCGTCTCTGTGTCCTCCACCTCCACCTCACCTCCACCTCCGTCTCCCCGCATCCGACTCTCGACTGCCCGTTTCCGACTCTAATTAATTTATAATTCAAGGTCCACTGAGCCTCCGCTGAAGGTTAAATATGAGGAACAGGCTTATGTTTCGTTTGATTGGGATTGGGATTTTCTGGTTCAGGATACTTCCAGAATACTCTCGCATATACACATACAGGCGGGCGAGGGGGGCGGGGGAGTGGTGGCACGCTAAAAAGTTTGAAATTGCTCGTCTCAACCCCAACCCCAACCACAACCCCACTCCCGCCATCTGGCAGAGATAATTGAAGGAATTTCTTGGCCACGCAACGACAAAGTTGTCCCAAGAATTTGGCGGCAGGGCCGTGATTCCTGGAGTCGAGTTTCGTCCAAGTTCTGGCCGATTACGTTCTTTGGCTTTTGGCTGATTTTGCAATCGGTAATCCTGTTGTTGCTGTTGTTTGATGGGGGATTAAAGAGATAGCGATAAGTCAGCGAAATGGAGCGGATGGGGGCGAAGAATTGGTGCAGAAGGATAAACCGCGTTACGCATACGCCACGTTGGCCCTGTGACGTGGTCTGGCAACTTTCGGGGGCAAACAACGGCAAAAGCTTCCCACTGCTGACCGTTGGGCGCCTGCCTCTTTCCTCTCTCCGCCTCTCGCAGTCTCTCCCGCCATTGGGCCTGCAGCAGCGGCAGCGGCAGCGGCTGCTTTCTTCTTGCTCGATTCTTTCGCCGAAGAACATTTTCGCCTGAGCAGGAAAAATGTTCAATGATTTTCCGCTCAGTGTGAAACGAACCAACAACTAAAACGAAACGAACGCGCGCGCATCGCACAAAATAGAAATATTTTCAAAGCGGGCGCACATAAAATTAACCTCCCCAGCCAACCCCCTGCCACCTGCCACCTGTCCGCAGCAAGAGCAAAAGGAGAATATCGAGAGGAGCGGGGCATAACTAAAATCTTAACTATAAAATAAACAATCGAATCGACGAAACAACAGAGACTGAACGCGAACCGAGATACTTATATCCACAGATACATATTGCACGAGTATGTAGATATTTGTACGTATCTGTGGCAATTATTATTGTGGCAATTGGACTGAGGATTGCACTGATTGCACCAAGATTGAGATTGAAATCGAGCGAATGACAGAGCAGAACAGAACAGACCGAAACAGAGACAAAGACAAAGAATCCACAAGTAGCTGGCGACGCAACGCGGGGCAGGCCCAGGCGGAAAGATAAATAGTCAAACAGATCGGATAATTGCTCTTTGGGGCGGCTAATGCTAGTTCTCGCTCTAAAAATAAACTCTCGAACAATTCTCGGAGACAACTACAACTACTGCATCACTGTTCCGCCCTCTGCAGACGAGTAGTTTTCCCAGTTTCCCCAGTTTCCCCAGGAAGTAGTCGGAGAAGAGCCACCTGCCCTTGGAGCCCTGAGGATCCGTGTGAGTAGAGCCCTGCTGTCTGTCTGTCCTTGACCCATCTTGATCGGATTAGGGAAAAATCGAAATAACAAACTTAACTTCTAGCCTGTGCGTCACATTCAGAGAGTGGCAGGAGAGCGAGAGCGAGCGAGAGAGAGAGAGAGAGAGTGTTGTGGTGTGGCATGGAGTGGAGTGTCGAGTCGTGTGTCGTGTGGCGTGTGCCCTTGCCTTGCCTTGCTGGTGTCTCTGTGCCCGCCGCCGTCGCACACACTAATTCGTCATTTTCCGTGTTGTTACTGTTGTTGGTACCTCACGTACCACACGGCGAATGGCGGCTAGCGGATGGATGAGTAGATGGGTGGATGGATGGATGGATGGGTGGATGGGTAGATGGATGAGTGGTGTTCACTTTTTATAGCCAGCAACAGTCACACACCCGGACACAAGCCACACAAATGAAGCGCCCGTCTCCTCCTCCCAGTGTCCCCTCTCGTCCCCTTCTGTCCCAGTGTGTGTCCCAGTCGACCGACAGTGTTTATGTCAATTTGAATTTTGCATGCGGCCGCTAAACGCTGAATGTGTTTGTGTGACTGTGTGCGAAAGTGCCTGCGGATGTGTGTGTGTGGGAAGCGGAAGACGGCGCAAACTGCGCTTCATTGCAACTTTGTGTGCGGCTTGTGGCAGCTTGTGGCGGAATGTGAATGTGCCACCAAGGAGTACTCGAAGACAAGAAAGAGACCGAAGCAGAGCGGAGCAGAGCAGAGCAGAGCGATGGCACTTGTCAGAGCGGAAACGGATATCCCGTGTGCTCTTTGCCTAGTCCGCCCTTCGCCTCTGAGCGCGCCTCCTGTTTGTCATTCCACTTCGTCAGCAGCAGAAGCAGAAGCATGTCCTGCCCCCCCATGTCCTTGCATTTGGAACACAGGAAATTTTAAATTGAATGTGCAACTCCCCGTCCAGCCCCCCTCCCCTCCCCTCCCCTTCCGATTGTCGCTCTGCGTCTCGCTGTCTGTTTTGCTGTGTTTGCCTTTGGCTCCAGCTCCAGCTCCAGGGCTCTAGTTCTAGCTGTTGCGCTGTTGTTTGTTCTTCCTTCTTCTGCACTGCGTCTTGTGTCCTGTGTCCTGTGTCCAGTGTCCTGTGCCCTGTCTCCTGTGTGCTGTCCCCTGTCTCATGCCCGATCTACTCTGTTCTGTTTGCCTCCATTTGCTTGGTCGCTGGGCGAGATTTGTTGGCTTAGAGCTGCCAGAGTGTCCAGAGATTGGTGTGTGTCAGTTGCAAGGGGAGGGCGGATGAGGGGGTGGGCATTAGTTAGTAAATGGCACATTTTGTGGACAGCAGGAAGACGGCCGGAAGGGAGGGAGACACTACAGTTGCTCCCCAATTCCTGTTGCATTGCCATCGTACTTTCCACGCTGTGACTCGTTCGGTTCCCGGTTTCCCATTCATTTGCCACTACGTGGCACAACATGCATACTTACCCCTAGATTTATGGGCCTCTGTGCCGACACACGCAGAACGTGGCTTATGTAACAGCTCCCAGGAGTAACCCAATTTCCTCCTCTGCTGCTTAAACAA